GTGTGTGGTGAGCGTTCTGGCTGCCATCTAGGTGGATGCTGCACATTGGTGTTGGTGGAGGAAGAGGGTCCCCATTACCTGTCAAGCGCTTTGAGTGGAGTGTCCAGAAAAGCGCTATATAAGTGTAAGCAAGTATTATTTTTAAACAGAAGATGGCAATGCCACCTTACCATCCGTCATTGTCTGTGTTGTGCATTACTAAATGTGGACTGTTTAGAGAGGCAGGGCACAACATTGACAACTGAAGGACACTGGACTATCAGAGTAGCAGTAGCCTCACCTATCAATTGCAATGACCCCCAGTGTGAGCATGCTGGCAGAGCTGATGATAAGGTAGAGAAGGGCACTGAAATTGCACCACACCACGCCGAAGATCCACTCGCGCAGCACCGAGGTCGCAATGACGAAGGGCAGCACCACCAGGGACAGAAGCAAGTTGGACAACGTCAGGATGAAGACGAACTTGTTGCTGGGCGTCAGCAGGTAGGGCTTCTTGTACAGCGTCACCACAATCAGTAGGTTTCCCAGGAACACGAGCAGGGTGATGGCGATGATGAGGAAGGACTCTGCGACCATGGCCCCACCACCCTCCAAAGCCGAGACATTCTGTGGGTGCGCCCCATTGCTGCTGCTGTTCATTGTGGGAGACTGGCACACCGTGCAGGGGGAGACATCCTTGGTAACTGCCAGAAGAATATTCAAAACCTTAGGCCAACATGATGTGAGACCAACCCCAGGTGTGACAGAGATTAATGGTTGTTTAACTCAGTTGTGTTCTGTATTTACACTGAAGGGCCTCATCTATTTCAGGAAACGGGAGTCCAAATGAGACCTGCAAAATGTTAATAGAACTACAACAATGGCAAAAAATACCAGCAGCGTGACTGGTCAACAGTAAACAGGCCCTGCAATTTTTCCACAACATATTCGTTACACTTCATGCACACCTTGTTTAAAAACGTTAGAACAAATCACTTGCCAACACGTCTAATTTAATCGATTAAATGAAAGTGGTTTATCCAGACAATAACCCTAAAATAACTTATTTTGTAAGTAGTACATAGAATCCGGTCAACAATAAAAAAAAAACAACAACACAAAAGCCTTTTTCTTTTTGCTGGCAACCGAGGACTTTAGTCTCTCATTTCTCTCGCAAGAACTAAAAGTCGAGCGTTTTGCAATAAACGGTGTTATTTATCTTTGAATGCAGCAGTTGCATATTACTGCGTCCCAAGCACTGATTAGGACAGTAATAATAGGCTACATCCCAAAGGCAAAAGGGGATCTGACTGGGCCGAAGGAACTTCAGAGCCATAACACAAATCACGTACTGTTGTTCTTGATGCACAGCAAAGAGCACACCTTATTCAGTGTTTTTATGAATTTAGACTTATTAATGTTAGTAGAAACTGAAACTATAACCTCGCTAGTATTGAAAGCTCATGCTGCTTAAAAGACGAAATTACTAAAATCAGTGCAGCAATGGTTCATTTCATATTTGTGCACTATCTGATAAGATCTTATTTTATCTCTTTGTGCTCGGTTCCACTATAGCAGAAATCGCAAAACACCACATCCACCATACACAACTGTTGTCGTTATTTGGTTTGCCAAAATTATGACATTGTAATGCGATTAAATTCCACGTCTCCTAGAGTGATAGGTTATGTTATTTTCATCAACGTTAAAACTGGAGCACATCGAACTACTCTGGACTGCAAAATAGTCTTTAAAAAATAGCGTCTCCTAATCCGGCAACCTCAAGGGATAACGCTATTGCAATAACATTTCAAGTTTACAATAACATTTGAAGATTTATAGAATTATCAGCGTCAACGTGTTTCGTGTTTCTAAATTGAAATAATTATTTTGATAATACAGGGAAAGTAAGCAAATTTATGAAGAAGCAGTTTAATTTGTGAATTCTAAGAGCTAAAGCAGATCAACAAAACCGATTTAACAAAGAAGAATTACAAACCATTCTGTCTTATATCATGAAAAGAACAACATAAACATCGCCGACTAGGCGATTTTGTACAAAAGAGCTCTTTATACGCCCCTCAAAAATGTATTGGGTGCACTCTACAAAATCAAGGCACCGGTAGAAACTACAACTGCTCCTCATGGTTCGGCTCATTTTACGAAAAATGCAAAATGATTTCTTATATCCTCAACACAAGGAAACAGTGAGTAATCATTAGAAGTTTTGGGAAAATGGGAACGTTAAAGTAGGTCAGTGGATGGAACATCCACTCTAATGTCTTTCTCAGAATTATCTCCCACTTATATATTTGGAGTTACGTCTATTTTTACTCACAAGACTCCCTGAAAACATCTGCTTCATTCCTCGAATTGGCCTGGGGATTTCCTCAAGTCTAGCCACTCGCTTCCTCTCTAACCAAACCAAACGGTAATAAAGCGAGCCAGTCTTTTTTAAAACCGACAGAGCCTGGCAGAAGATTGCCTTTGCCTTTAAATCGTATGCATTTGTACTTAGTAATAGGTAAAAGCACTGTAATCACAGTTGTAAATGTAATCACAAGACGGCACTCTTCTGTATCGTCTCCGTTCTGTTCCGTGAATTAATGAAAACGACTTCAGTGCGCAAATTTAATTTATGACCGGTTTTCGTTTTTGTATAATAAACGTTCTCACCGAAAGACGTTCAAAAAGTAAAAATATCTAAAACCTCAGCAGCAGAAAAAAACTTGCCCATACTGTTCATACGGAGCTTGGTTCCAATCGAAAACCAAAATTCACCCATTATTAACCTCATATAGACACGATGTCTTTGAATCGGCTGCAAAAATCTTTTCTGCACTAGGTTTTTAGCCACGAGAAGGTCCTGCAGCTTTGCCTTTGTCTGCTCTACACAATACACAGCCTCCTCGAATCCCCCCTGAAAAGTTTATTTCTCACCGTTTCAGTCTGGCTGTAGCGAACTCGCATCCTTTCTGCAAATCCGATGCAAACAACCCTCACTCCGCGTGTTTTCGTGGTATCGGGAGAGGAACTTTATTCTCCCTCATTGCCAGATCCTTTGCTTTTCTTAAATCAGCTGATTGAAATCCAGAAGGGCAGTTCGCGGCTGCAATGGCGTCCGCCTCTCTTTCTCCGACTCCGTACTTCTCTCACTCCCATCTAGGCTAGTTCCCCACCGCACTGGTTCAGTTTGTGGGTGGTCTGGCCCGGCACTAGCCGCCGCCTCAACTCCAGCTCACCTCTTAAAAAAACCCTTAGCCCGACGCAAGCTATAGTTACCTGCAATCTACGGTTTAAAATGGGGTTTAATTTTTTTTTCTCCCCTTTTCGCTTGCACTTAAATTCCGAAACTCAACTTTTCCCTTTGATATCTTACATTCAAGTCGTTTTTTCTCATTGCATTCGAGTGCAAGTAATGTTTATCGAGGGTGTGTAATTAGGGGCATACATGCATGTGCACCTCGATTTTTTAACAAAAACCTAACGTTTGGCTGCTAAACACCAACCCCGAGTTCTTTCAGCACCTTGGACCACCAAGGAAGATCAAACATTCCCGCAGCGTTATTCACTCTCATCATATGGGGCGATTTTAGCCTATCAAGCTTGAGGGCGCTGAAGCCGCAATGGAAGTCGCCATTGACATAGGAGACAAAATTTGGTGGGGACTGGTCATCATCGAAAATTGACAATACCCGATTTTCAACCAAAGGGGTTTCTTTGGTAGTCCACGAACGTACCAAAAACTACATTTGCGTAGCATTTTCGCTTAAGCCGGAAAAGTGATATGTGGCGTGCTGAAAACCTGACCATATCGCAAGAGCAAACCTGGTTTTAAAATGGTGGAGGCAGACGACGAAATTGCCGTTTCAGATTTTTTAAATGAATTGTAATAATAGAGAAAGCCTTAGCTGAATTTACAGGTATCCTATAAGCAGTTATATAATAAACAGTTACTTCTCAGTAGAAGCAAAGACAATCACATTTCTTGTTTTCAACGTGTCACCGATTTATTTCTTTATGCACACACACAAAAACAAACCTAAGTTAATGATAATATATTTAAGACACACCACTTTATAAAGTCATGTTTGGTTTTGGTATTTTTGCTGCCCACAGCAATCACAGTTGTTCTAAACGTTAATAAAAGCAATAAATGTGGATGGACGATCTGGTTGTTGTAGAAGCAAGGTTAATTTCTTCAGGAGAGATGCAGGTCCTTGCTAATTTTCACATTTTTAAGTGTTTTAATAAAAAAGGAGCCGAAAAGCAGCACAGAGAAGGTCTTCAGTGGAAGTTTCCAGACATCGTTCTGAAGAACTTTGGTCCAGTGAGTTTTGTGTATATCCATTAAATAATCGGTTTGTAAAGTCCTGGAACACTTTGATGAATTACACCTATGTTTTGATTTATGAGATAATTGAGGGATCATTCGGACCAAGAATTAGACTACCCATCAGCCCTCAAAGACCAGGCCAGCTTTTACTTAGTACCAGAATCTTTATTTAATTAATCAGAAATGTATGTTTTCACCCAATTCCTAACTGCTTCACCTATTGTAGGGTTGTGAGGGAGCCAGAACCTATCCCAGCAAGTAACATTTACAAAGCAAGGTACATCCTGGACAGGACACCAGTCCACCGCAGGGCACACACACACACACACACTCATACCAGGGCCAATTTTCCCAGAAGGCAATGAACCTGCCAGTATGTTTTTGGACAGTGACAGGGAACCGGAGCACCTGGGGGAAGACCATGTGAACTCAGGGAGAACTCTACATAGACAGCACCCCAGGTCCAGGACTGCCCTCAGGGCCCCAGCACTGCAAAGCAGCAGCACTGACCACCACCACACAGACACATGGGCAATTACTTGCCGGGACAGGCTCCAGCTTCCCCCGCAACCCTTAAGTGGTTGTGAAGCAGTTAGAAAATGGCTGAATGGATGGATGGATTTTAGAAAAATAATACCATTTCAATTTGAAATGAGTCTTCCTTTATCAAATGATTTTAGTTCTTTCATTAATGGTTCTTTTTAATCACATACTGTAGTAACACAAAACGTGTCAGTGTGTGGCTCTCACACCTGAAGAAGGCTTCACAGCCAAAACGCTGTTTCCTCTCTTCTCATTTCAGCACGGAATAAACCTATTACTTGTTCCTTAGTAACACAAAAGCTAGCAAAGAACTCCACCAAGTGGCAGTCCCACAAAGAGTATCCTTAGGAAATATCCTTGCCATGTTCACATGAAGTGTAACTGCTTTTTACAAGAGTCATGCTTTAGAGGCACAAAATGTAGAAAGTTGTGCAAGGGTCCGAAAACTGAGTAACATTTATCCTCCTAGCAACTGTGACTGGAACCTCTTGTTTATTTCAGCATGTTAGAATGATAAATGGCTTTATGGTAATCATTTTAAAATGTATGGACATCAGCATATTTGTCACAGGTCTCCTGAAATAAAGTCATGTTTCTTACGGATTCTTAAATTGTAAACATCTAGCTCTAGAGAAGTCAAGATGCTTATGTTCTAGCCTACCATTTATAGTGTTACCCTGTTATTAGTGATACTTAAAAACAGCAAGCTTCTCCATGGAAAATGGACATTTGGAACAAAACATACCTGAGAAATGATAAATTGCCACACAGTAGAGGAACAGATCTCCCAAATGTGCGGAAACTAAATATATATCAAGTGGTTTCTTCACACTGTTTGCACTGTCAGCTATGATTCTCTTAATAAAGGAGCATCTTCTATTTATGTTCTGAATGTCCCATAACCTGATTAACAAGAGTCTTCAGTCTTTGTTTATTTCGTAGATTGATATGATCAATGCTTTTCAGGGCTTTTGAATACCTCCATCAAAGCAGCATGTTGACTCCTTCCATGGTTAAGAGATTCATTTCCTTTCTTTTGTGTTAGGAAGACATTGCTCTCAGTTCAGGAATTAGTCTCAGTCTGGCTGCTCTCCCTCATACGATGGAGCAACAGTGTATTTCTTAAATTGTGGTGATGTAAACTGAACACATTGTTGCCTTTTCGTGTTAACCACCAACCTTTTTAATGTTTAAAATGTAAATTCTTCCAGCCTGTGTGAAATTTAACTACTTTTTTCTTGTCTTTCTCTTCTTTCATCAGATGCCAATTTCTCCTCAAAACCTACCTGTCCAGGCAGAGCTGGTAGATTTCATCAGCTACTCCGACCTTGAAAACAACAGTATATCTCTCTCCATTGCAGCCACTCCATTTGACTGCACGTGTTGTGATCGGTGAGCCTAAGTCTAAATAAAGACCACAGCATGTTGTAATATGATATAATGTCTTACATTTGGGTAATTTCAGTTAGTTTTCCTGTTATGTACGATAGTGCCCTGGGTTATTATTTACAAACATCTGTAAACTATAAATACTGCATCGTCTTTGTAAAATTAAATAAAATCTCTCTTACCTGGAAGAAGGGGCCTTGAAGTGAGAAATGACGACAAAACTATGGACTCACAAGGGCCCAGAATGTACTTGGAAAAGAAGGAAGTATATCCCGAAGGTGGAAGGTAAAAATGTGATTCTCCAGAGAAACAATATGTACAAACGTATCGGGAAAACTAGACCACAGTTTAGATGATAATTTCATATTTTTTAAGACATTTTCATGAGGATCATAAACCAATACCCTGAAATCAATGAGGACAAACTACAGTAGATAATTATGAACTAAACGCCTCTTGTTAACATTTCTGATATTTCTTGTTCATCCCAATGATAATTTTTTTGAAGATGTGACCGAGAATGGTAATTAAAAGACATATTTTCATTAATCTCAGCTTACATGTCAGAAAGGTAAAATTGATTTTACATTACAATTACCCCTTAATTTGCAACTTTCTTTCCTTTTTTGTATTTATTTTAACTTGACAGTTAGCTAGTTCTATAACTCTCTTCCCTTCATTCTGCTCTTCTTTTATTTATAAAATTAATACATTTTTAAACCTTGGTAATTTTCTTTTCAGTAAGATGCGAATAGACAATTCTATGGCTTTTTGTTTTGTCTTAAAAGACAGACTACAGATCTTTTTGTTTTACAGCTATAATTGCTGAGGAATTATAGTATTTATGCAATATCTTAGCAAAGTAGTGGTCTTTAAATTAAACAGCAAGTAGCATGATTATGCAGAATACAATGATTTACTGTTTAAGTAATGCAACTTTAGTTTTTGTTCACATATTTTTCACTTTTGAGACATCAGTTTCCATTTGCAGGGTATGGCAAAAATGACTTCAAACACCTCCATCAGTTCAAGGTATGGAAGGCAACCCCTTTCATCTGCACAAATGCAGGAAGAGATTGTGAAACTTAGTGAACTGGAAGCTTACACTTGTGAACAAGAAATATATTCACAGGCACAAAAAGTTAATATTTTTAACATCATGTAGAAAAGTATTATGCTGCATTTTTGGATTTTGAAATGCTGCTGCTTTCTTTTTCAGTCACTGTTTTATGATTCTTTTCTCAAATGTGTTTTTTCCATCCAAATAGTTTTTTGTTGTTTTTGTGATAGTGAGTTCACAGTTATAGGTGACCAAATAAAAATAAAAACAACCAATAAAAGGCAGAAAGGTACTATATATAGTCAGTTCTTTTAATTGCTTAAGTCATAGGGGAAGGTATTGGGAAAAGCACATTTACAGCAAAATTAAATCTAAAAATATCTGTGAATTAAAACATTGAAGTTTAATACATTAAAACAAACATAAAAATAAAGTCCAATGCATAAAACTTGGCAAATGACATGGTGAAAGAGCATATTTTTAAAGTATACAGTATCTGTATTTAAAGAATGTAAAGCAACATACAGAGCAACCTGGATGCTAATAAAAAAAGTATGGTTCTGAATAATTTACAATAAAACATGTTTTAAAATAAAATGTGTACACAGTACAATTAGACAATACAAATTGCATTTCACAGTAGTTCTTATCAATACGACCCTTTGAAGCAGTACATTAGTTCCTTTTAAGTAAAATTATGGTAGGTCTGCTACATGCATTTCATTAGTAATAAATATACACTGTAAATACCTTAATCATGTCCTATCAGACCTGCAGGTCACTGTATTTCACAAACTTCTTGTATATATTGGGCTATCAATGCTATGTAGGGATATTTTAAGTGCAAATTGCTGTGGTATTCATCATTATCCCATTTAAAGGCCTAACTCATACAGACAGCCCAAACAAAAGCTGCAGGGAAAAAAAAAAACAGGACTGACTGTACACAACCTCTTTTTTACTTTATTGGACTGGACAGGCTTACTTTCTTTTATATCAAAGAAGGGCACTATGAAATAGCATAAGAAGATGGATGAATTAAGGAGAACCATAGTGTTTCTTTTTAAAAAGAAATTAAAGTTACAAGACAGCATTCATCAAAAATGTCAAGATAGATCGACTGCACATAAATTTTGGATGTGTTCATTCCCTGGAGGGTGTGGTGAAAAATGTAATTAGGGTGGGACATTACTGATCTAATCAAATGATGTACACTTTTATTATTGATCACAGGAGACAGATAATCACATTTATTGCTGAAATAATTTGGCAGATGAACAGGGGAGGCACATGCACAAGAAACACGGATATGCCCATATTATCAATGTTTCCAGCATATCTTTCAGAACAACTTTATTTTGAACATTGCACTTCCAGAAACACTGCAGCTGTGCCTTAGCAGGTTAATGTGTGAGGCGCTACTGTGCCTTCTGATGAAAATGTGTTCAACTGCATGCCAAGAGATTGTTGCTCAAGTTGCTGCAAGGTGACAACAGTGTTCACATGCATACAGTTAGAAACTGGGCAGTACCTGGTTAAAATGGTTGTAGTCTATGAACATTTGCTAATCTCCTTGGCTTCACAACGTCTTTGCTGTTCTCCGTAAATTCACTTGCAATTTAATCATTTGTGAAATGTTTGTCAAAAACTTTAAACACTTGCAGTTCTTGTTTAAATTTCCTGTCACACAGTATGCATCTGCTTCATCTACAACTGGATGTTTATTCCCTTTATAACTTAAAAGTGAAAACCCACATACCAGAATAACCAAAGCACATTTTGAAGACTTGAGGCTGATGATAAATGACTTATACTGTAGACTGAAATTCTGCCAGTACTCCAAAGTAGTGACAGATATTTTCATTTTATTTTATTTTTTTCAAATCATTCTCCAGGTGAAGAGTTGAATTACAGAACTCTAAGAATTGTAGAACAGGTTTTTTTAATGGTCTGCAATTGGAAAAATATTTTCAGTAAGACTAAAACTCTAAGTTGAAACTGGGCAGAATAATGGCTTTTAAATTTAAAATGCAAAAGGTTTTGAAAATTTCAGCTAATGTCAGCAAAGGGTACATTTAATATACCCAAATAATCAGCTCAGCTGCAATTTCACAAAGATGAGAGTGCTGACTAACTGTAAAGCAACAGGCCTGAGGGTCTGATAGCTCTTTCCGAGACGAGGAGAAGCACCAACATCTGGCTATCAGATCTGATTTTTGTAACAGACTGATGTACTGATCACAGGGAAAACTACTGGCAAAAATTACTGCATCAATTGAACACTGCAAAACTCTCCACCAAACAAACATGTAATTGTGAAAGCACTGATAAGGCAGTTTTTTTCTGTACATTCCAATTTTGTTTTGATTGTGAAAGACTAGATTGTCTCTCGGTCTCTTTCTCAAAGGTGTCAAGGCAAAGCTCCACTTGGCAGCTTCATATTCAAATCCAAATACCATAAAAAAACAGAATAACAAAGAAACATTGCATTACATTTTAAATATTCAGCGTTTGGGTATTACACTGATATTTTTGTGCATTTCAGGGCTTAAAATGATCTGTAGCCTGTCTTCCAGTCCTTACTTTCGGAAACAAATTCATGCAGATATACAGATTTAGAAAAAGCACAGCGTGACTCTCATATTGAGAATGAATACAATACTGCATGAATCAGGAGGGTCTGTGGCTATGAAGGCAGAACAGATGATGTTTATTTTCTTTTTTCAATCACCTTAAGCTTCCAGAAATAAGGGGACTTTTAATCTTACAGAGCCTTATTAACCCCACAAAAAAGGTTTTACAACTTGGAACTGGTAGACGGGCACTTAATATTGTAACCAAGTAACTCTCATGCTCAGCCACAGGCCTGATTTACACTGCACTGTTCTTACACAACCATAAAGTATAAACTAGATTTTAACTAGCACTGCATTATGTAGGCTGTGCACCACATGGTACAGGCAAATATAATGTAGGCAGTAAAGCTATATGAGAGCATGTAAAATGGTATTTAATTCAAACAACTGCACATGGACAGTAATGGGAAGTGACAACAACAAGTCAAAATGGGTGTGCCGTGTTCTGTGTGTAGAGTTTGGTATTTGATTTTAGTTTTTAAACTTCGCAGCGAAGCGATTCTTGAGACACAAGAACAGAGCACATCCAGGAGCTCAGCAAAGCATGCTCCCAGGAAAATGGAAATTTGGAGGGGATTCGGAGTGCAGGCATTTACGCAAACCAAAAAGAAGGCAAATTCCAAGCAGATATGCAGTCCATAATGGATATAGAGACTTTTTTCTGAAACCACAGAACATCTCGAAATCCGGGTAATTCAGGAGGTTCTAGGCATGGTAAATCTTCCTATTGTAATATTTCTAAATGAAAACTAAATATTATAAGAAAACAAATTTCTAAATGATCAGTATATTTTGGTTAGTATCTCTGCCTAATGTTATTTTTTACTATAATAATTTTGTTTAGAACATATGGACTGCATTTGAATACTACTGTATATCAATTCCTGGACTGTTCCACCCCTGTTCTGCATCATCACTTGGTAGTGTTCCCAGATCACATACTGCAAATGGACTTTCTCAGTAGCAGTGACTTAAATGTTTGCGGCAAAGCAAAATCGAAAAGCTTTCTTACTGACAACATGAGTTATTTTGAATTCACAGAATGGAAATATCTTAATCTTTACAAATTATGTAAATTTAAGTCTTTCCTGATTTCATTAAAATGTAAGGATTAATAAATGTCCAAAATGATACAATTAGTGATCTGGAAACTCCCAATGATGATCTGCCATGCCCAGCACTTGAGTTTTACTATCTAATCTGACCTACATTGCGTTTACTTTCACAAATCAGTGTTTCTGTATAGCTGCCAAAGCAAATATATTAGCAATCAGTGACATTTTAAATGAATATGGGTGCATATTAAAGCAACACGTTTTGTATTACAGGCTCGCTTTGTCACAAATCACCTTCTCATCAAATTACTGGAACTGTATCAATGCGCTATCAAACAGTGAACTTGTATTCATTTAAGGGTTCTCTTCTGTCTTATTAAACCTGAAAAAGCATGCTCTATCTATATTCTTCTATAGGAGGACATCTGTTGAAGACTATGAAAAAACAAGACTTGCCGATATGCTTTTGGTTCTACCTGCTCTGTCAAATGGGTGCGTGTGTGTAGGTTTTTAAATTACATGTACAATATATATATATCACAGAACTTTCACAACTATCTTTTTAACAGTGATCTGCATTAAGCAAAGGACATTTGTTGCTTTTATGTTGTGTTTAAGGTGTCCTATCAAGTCTCAACTTTTCCATAGGTTCCTTCCGGAGGCCTGTAATGTTTTGGAAAAGCCTTCAGCTGCAGCGTATTAAAAGCATACTTGCGACATCCAACATTCTTCATGGTGTTTTCTCGCCGACAACCCTCACTGGGGGGAGAACAAGTACAGAGAATGATAGCAGTGGAGAAACAAAAAGCCTGTTAAGACAATGACAAACCGAACAGTCTTACCAAGCGCTAACAGTAATGGTGGATGGCAGGAGTGAGTGACTCATGGACACAGCTTTATATGTCAACAACATAAACTCTACAAAAGGTTTTGCTCTACAGAAGAAATAAACACAGAATAGACACCATCCTTTCATGCTGGTGTAGTTCTGCTTTGGATAAACGGGGCCTACGCCTACAGACACTGGCTCCAATGTTGTATCAAAACACATTACTATACCCATTCAGGAGACTCAGACAATGCCCCTCATGTTCATGTGGCTTATGGTATATGACAGGCGTAGACGCATTTAATTCAATACATTCTTTGGTGCACACCTGCTTAGGCGACAAGGCAGGCTGGAGCCCCCACATGTAGCAGACCAAAGAGCAGTGATGAGGGAGCCAGAAGAAAGCACGGAAGCACACACCACAAATACAGTAAAAGAACAGCTTGTGCTGCGTTTGTCGAGTGAGAGAAAGTAAGGTGTTCAACCCAAGATGGGGGTTGTTTTTGCTACAGAGGGTCTGAGTTACCAGATTGTTTTTACTATGTTTTCTTTAAAGTGCCACAGGGTATAAGGAGATAAGCAGGCGGAGTCTTGCCATGACAAGAGACAGTGCCTAGAGTATTTAACAGGTGTAGTAATATACAGAGTACTACAGATTTAATTCAGACCTTTGTGGAACACACAATGGTTCTCTACATAGGTCAACGTCCATGAATCTGCTTTACAAATGCTACCATTTGCCCCTGACAAAGGTTCATTGTAAATTCACCCAATAACTGTCCACAAGAAGGCTCAGTTGTAACAGCCTTTTCCACATTAGCTTAAGCAAAGTTTTAACACAACGTATTAACCTAAAAATATAATTAATGTCACATGCTTGATAAAATAATGTTATTATTAGGAGCATTCGTTAAAAAGAAGTTCTTGGAAAGCAAATATGTACGCTATTGTCTTTGCCACAGGCATTGCATGAAGTTCCCTTTTCTTTTTTTAATTCTCAAAACAAGATAGTATTGTTTAGCTCCAGTACTGTATGTTGCTCACATACACATAAACAGATACCCACTTTTACAAGTAATTAGCTTTTACAATCTTAAAATATGTTGCTAAGGAGTCTGCCTTTCATCGTATGTAAAGGATCACTACAGTATGTGTATACAACTTGAGAATGAGATCAGCAATCTCTGAAAGTAGGAGTGCAGTTAATTTTGTAAGCAAGCCAGTAACAGAGTTCTGTGGGGTACTGTACTATATATTAAAGTTTACACAATAAACTCTGTTTGTGGATCACACAGCTTGCATAGTATTCACATATGATAAATGTGCACATTGTCTGGATTCTGGTTCCACTGTTATACTACATGAGAATCATCAGATATTGACTACCCATGAAAACTGTCATTTAGTCCTAGACTGCCTTTTCAGAATGCTCACACACTGAGGACAATTGACAAATTCTTACTAGATACCCCAACTGCCACTGACCAGCTGCCTAAACACCTATTTTCCACAGGATATGAATCCCACCAAATACTTAATTTAACTTGGAATTTAAAAAACACATCCCAGAATACTGTATATGTAGACTTCTTGTATTTTACCAGGACTGCAGATGCAGAAGATTCATCACATTCACAAGATGGACAGAATTTGCTATCATATACTGTATAAATCATCTGGGTGACTCACAAAGCACAAGCCACTAACTTTCTCTTCTTGGTTGAGAGTTTGAGTTAAAAAGATAAGCACTGAGGAGGGTGCACTTTATGATCAAAGAACAAAATATTTTCTGAAATTCCAGATTAGGAGAGCTTGTTTTTCCTCTTGTTTGGCTTACAAGGAAGTGTATTATAGGAATGTGTTTCATTTCCTGCCTGGGATTTTTCTATTATGCCTTTTGTGGAAAGACCAATTGTTTGGTTCCTTTTCCTCAAAATCAAAAGAGGATTATGTGTTAAACAGGAGGAGTTTAATATCAGCCAATCCAATACCTATACCTATTCTAAACCACAAAATATGCTTTTAGATTGGACTGGTTCAGCTGTAAACATTACTACTCAGGGGTTACATATGACAGACAACCATTTCTTAAAATATTTCTAATATCATATGATACAGCAGTTTAAACTACTCAACATGATGGCTCAAGGCAGACAATACAGCTCAATCCTGGGCAACTAACACAAAAAGAAGCATGCCAGAGTACAGCTGCTTCAGACTTGTACTTATTGTAATGGACAGATGCAGGGCTACCTCTAAACCATGAGTCATGCTTTTTACCACTTAAACCCTGCTCACCACTGTACAAAATGGCTAGATTTATAACCATAAGCACTAACCGCACTATTCTGCTAGACAATCTTTGGTACAACACAAAGGGCACCGTGAAACTCAGAATACCACTAACCATCGTCATGCTGATCAGAGGTTTCCAGTGTTATGGACCATGCCATTCAAAAATGTACATGAAGAGAGATCTTCATCAAAGTGCAATTTTTCATGCCGTGAGCCTCACAATTCCTATGGGTGAGTGTTCAACGATGGCAGGAGAGATACTGCACTCACTGCCAAAGCCACACGGTCACAGGAGCCCAGCAAGACATTGTTGTCACAATGCTAGGCCTAGTCCAGTCCATCTGTTCCAGGAATATCTGACAAATTGTTGATCACACAAAGGTAATGATACACCCTTGACCTGAGCCAGCAGTGTCTGTCCCTCAGATGAATGAGTTTAGTTATGAGCTCAGCAGCAAATGACTGCACTCATACTCAATCAATACTCAATACATACAATCTCAGTGATTGTGTATCGAAAGACTGCATAGTTTGTTATACAACATGAGCTTTTGGGAAGTCTTGTTTATAATGACTTTTTGTGTGGATGTCTTCATCAATACCATCAAACTAGTTTTAGTATCTGAATCAATACTGAAGTAAACTCAATTTATGATGCATGATCATGAACAGGGAGTTAATTATCGCATCAGGAATGAATGGAACAGAAAGAGAAATCCCTTCCTATACAATTCAACATGTTTAGAAATTGCTTCTCCACATCTGGGGGTGTCACAATACAAATTGTCAGATCAATTAAAAAATGATTGATTTGGATTGATTTCTTCCCTTTAAGGAAAGTACTACTTTTTCTTTCATTAACTGGGGACACAATGTCATGCTCTACAGAACTCCACTTAAAGACTTTAATCCACTATAAATAATTGAAAACATGTAAATAAACAAAGCATAAGAATGGCATTCACACAAAAAGTACAGTGGCACTGATGCGTCCTTAAGCATGTTCTGATATACTGTACATTTCCCAAAAATATTAATGCTCAACATTATTGATCCTAACCTGGCAAAGTTATGCTGTTCTTCACAAAAATAGAAAGTGCATCAGTTTAACTAAAGCAGCCAGAATCTCCCTGACAAATGATGGGAAGACCCGATTAGAACAGCCAATATCACAACATTGCAATTATTCAAAAACTGGCAAACGTAGAAAGTCGGCTAATTAAAAATAGTATTAATAGCTCTGATTGGGCTCTTGCCATAAGAAACAAGATACGCAAGGAAGACCTGAAAAAACAAGCTGTCAACGACAACAAGTCCAGACACAGCAGGACAGAAACTGGACTGTATAATAAACTCTGTGTATATATGACCACTATGAGGTACTGGGAATCTGTGATAAATAATATCTTATACATCTTTTAGAATATCTGCTAAAATAATTTAATGTGTATTTACATCAAAGTTTTTTTACAAATCTTTTTTTTTCCAGCTTTTCAGTTTCAGTGGTTCAGTAGTGTTTCTTTGAAATAAAAGTAAGGCAATAATATTTAGATGGCTGGCCTCAGGGCTGCACACTTCCCCCATCGTTCACAAATGAACCTCTGCAGGGCCTGGGGGCTGTTGTCTTCACTTGCAACGCATTTTAGCCAGCAGGTACGCTATGCTCAGAAACAGCCACACGACCAGTAAATTGGGGCTCAGGGCCAGTAAAGGGATAGAGTAGAGAAGGCTGGGGTCTAGCCTGCAATCGCGGATGGGCAACAGGCCACTCAAGTTCTTCTGTGTGACCACTTCCCGAGTTCCAATGCTGTGAAAACGGAGAGGGTGGAAGGAGAAGGAGCGAGAGAGGAGGAAGCGTGAAACAAAGGGCATGCACAAGGGTGGCCAGGGAGTTATGGAAGTAAGAATTACAGTAATCATAGTGAAAAAACAACAGTGGATATCAACGAAATGGGTCGGATAAAGGGGGAGAAAGCATGGTGAAATGGCGTGGAGGCCAAAATATTAGACGGAAAAAACGAAACAATGATGAGGCCAGGGTGGAAACGCAATATGAGGGGGAGGAAAAAACACAACAAACACCACCAACGCAAATTGAAGAAAGAAAGACCAATCACCCAAAAAAAGAGAGAGAGAGGATAAAAAAGAAGAGACAAAAATAAGAGCAATTTTCTGTAGTCTTTGGAAGGTAAAAGAAAAGCGAGGTAAGAAAGGATGGTTTTTCACGTTCCCCACACGCGGGGCGGCCGGACGGAGGGCCATGCAGCACTGTCATGCGTCTGCATGCTGCGGTCAGCGAGCGGCAGGGGCAGGGAGGCAGGGGAACGTGAACAACCAGCCTGGATTTCACCCTTACTTATCCCAAGCGCTGGGGAACAGCGTGCTGTCTGTCAAATATTTAACAATTAAAACTGCAATAAATGTCTTAAACTCTATTACTCTGGTGGTTTAAAAGATCTACACCTAGCAGAGGTAAGGATACAAATGCCTTAGACTTCATGTATCCAATTCAAATAAAACTGATTGCAGGGGTATGATATCTGGGTCCTGGAGAACCACAGTCCTTCAGGTCTCACATATTTTACAGGTTTTACAGCAGAGACAAAAATGAGAAGACATTGTGGATCTCCAGGAAAAGGTCTGCACATTACTATTTCCGTACCCCGCATTGCTACAGTATGTCATGTTACTTACCTAACACTAAAACGTTATGCCACATTTGTGTGTGATGCTCTTAACTGAGGAATAACTTCAGGTGGCACAAAGCCACACAATTACATGTGTCTTCAACTCACCCCTACACTTCTGTGAAAGCTCCTGTGGCCTCTTCTTGCCAATATACCAAGTCTTATTAAAAGGCATTGCTGAGAGGCTAACTTCAGGAACACCTTGAGCCTAACTCTTCTGTATGTTCCCTTCCCTCTTCCACAGCTGCAATGATTTGGTCAAAAGCTACTGTGGTTTACTAAACTGTCTCTAAGACTATCATGCTAATTCGAGATTTAAATTGAACAACTAATGAAATGTCATGGAGACTGATTGACAGAAACGAAATTCTTACTAGACGTGCGAGTAATAAATCTGCTAAAGGACTACTTTTAATCCAAATGTTCATTAAACTGTATTACTTCAGACAAGGCAGGGTCAAATCACAAAGAAATATAGAAAGGATAAGAAAACTGAATGCCAGAAAATTTAAGACAATACACAAAGAGGAATGTAAGAATGAGGGCAGGCAAAGACCAAACAGCATTGTACTACTACAGAAGAAGGTGTAGGGTCTTATCCTTTCTTTTTCGGGGGAGGGGGGCTTTCAAATTAATCATGAAAGATTGAAAAGGTGCTGTGGCCTATTGTATTTTGGTTATCATTGAGAAAGCAGTGTTTCAGCAGACAGAGGATGGTATGAATGAGACATGAGAGATGAAAAATGCACGTAGACAGGTATGCACTCCGTCTGTAGTTAATGAAACATTCTTGCTGGCCATTTGCTGGACAAATAACAAGCAGGTGCTATTGCTGAATAAAATATTAAGCATAAGGAACAAGTGCTAACTGCAGAGAGAGAAGGATCATAAGGATCGTGCTCAGTGCACGTCTGCTATGGCGTATCCATTATCACAATGTGTTCTAAATGTAGAATGTTGCACTCTTGATTTTGGCAAAACAAAGTACAATTTCAAAAAAGGATGTACATAGGCCAGGCATCCTCACAGTGCCCAAATTTGAGCAAACTAGATTATTCTGGTGTGATTCGCCTATAGTGGTGATAACAGAAAACACCAAATCTGTCTTCACGGGAACAAAAAACTTCCAAATAATCTGGAAGAGAACAGTTCCTCTTCTATACTTTAAGCCAATTATTCTCTTTACATTGAAGGCAAAAAAGCTTTTTTTTGGACATCTGGAGAATCCAGAAGGGAATTTCACCAAACTTGTGTTTTTATCTTTTTTTCTTTATCCCAGTCTGTAGCACCATGAGATCTTCTACTAAATGCAGGTCTGACTCAGTTTGACCCTCTTTGCCTCGATAATGAATATAAAAAGCAGTGCTCCTCTGCTATGTTTTCCAGTTATGTCAAATATCATACAATATTACAGTATGCCAATTAACATATATACTAATTATAATTATTTTCAAATTCCTACATTGATATTGTAGCACAGTCTCAACAGCCCTGTCTAAGTGATGTCTCTTATTCTCTTTGTCAGGCATTCTTTTTTTCACTACATCTTTGCAAAGTGCATTCATATTAGAAACTAGATATTCTATGTTTACTGATCCCTGTGATGTCTTGTGAATAAAATCTGTGAACTTAGCAGTAAATTATGAACTATGCACTATGAATATCCCAAACAAATATCTACCAGACAAAGACAGTCCATTCTATAGTATTTCATATTCACTTCTTGAGTCACCAAAATCGTGTACACCCCTATACAGTATACGACGCGTCTTTCCTGATATAACCAAATAAAAAAACAAAACACCTGCAAGGAACATGACTGCTAAAGAATATCTAATTTCAGAATACATAATTTTGTGATGAATCTATCAGTTTCTGTTTAATGCCAATGAACACCACTTACAGTAGGCGCTTATTGTTGAAACAGATGAAAGAAGTAACCACGAAACTAAATACAGTAAAGACACATCTACACTATCATACCTCAATTAGCTGTGAGGATGAGAGAGTGACTCATTGCCATCAGTACTGGTGCGGGTGAGGTGTTCATCTGTAGTTTGCACTGTCCCATGTTAGGAGCATCAAGCAGTGATAGACCTACCTCCTCATGCAGTCCAGGGCCTGGGTGAAGACCTGAGGAGCCATGCCGTGCTCGTGCTGCAGGATCAGACACTGCTCCAGAGTCACGGACATGGCCGTCCTGTCCTTGGCGCTTTTACAGCTCGTGAAGCGAACTCCATTGAGGCGCCGGCAAATCTGACAAGGAGCAGACAGGGGCAGACACAGCAATTCATTGCACGATTGTTCTGTTTGTGATTCCCTTCAAACTTTGAAATCGTCAAACGCCCCGCCCCCAAATTCTTCTCGCAATTCTTCTCGACGACCTTCCAGACGACAGACGTATATTCATTGAGTTCTGCTTAACCTCCAGCTCGAGGATGGATGACACCCACACTGATGGCCTTCATCATGCACTGATGCATTACAGACATCCCTACAGACGGAGAGAGCACTGTTGCTACTCTACTGCTTTAGCTCAATGTAAGACCTAGAATCCTGCCATTATTGTGAAGAGATTATTCACAGGTAAGGTCTTATGACGTCGGACATGCAAGTTTACTACATGAGTTAGGTATAAAGGCAATTCCTTATTCTAACTGAGGAACTGAACCACTTTTTCTCGATGTTGGTTCTGTTCCGGTAAAAGTCCTACAATACGTGTGCATATAAAAGACTGATGTACCTCTGCAGCTTGCCACAGGATGTCCACATTCTTGTTTTTTCTTGCATGGACATTCTGGCCCAGGAATCGTAGCAGTTCAGGCAGGCATGTCTGACTACGGGACCGAGGTAGGCCTGCCAAAACAAACCAGAGAATGAGACATTTCTTTTCGCCATTCTACGTTGTAGACACAAGAAACATTGGGGAATTACAATGAGACAATAAGGACACAGAAAAGTGACTATCTTATCACAATTTATGAACAAGACTATAATTATTCTATATATCAATATCCTGCCTTTTATATTTTTCTTCAAATTCTTCACACAAAATTATTTTGCAAAGGCAATAAAATGTTGGTGAGTTTACATCATACAATATAGCCCACAAAGATACGGTAAATGTATAGTTATCATAAGTGTCTGTCATTTGTAAATGTTGTTAGTTATATTCCGTTAGCTGGTCAGGTTGGACAACTTTACATGGAAACAAATATTCCAGAATGCATATAGTTCAAACATATCCATCTTTATAGAGTTTTATTACTATTAGAAATTTTAAGCTTCCCAGTACAGTGTTTATTATTCAGTCTACATTAAAGTAACTGCCTTGCAGCCTGGCCTAAGGACATGTCTAAGGAAAACCAGGTAGCAGTTGTAAGTGAAGCTTAAGGAGCAGAAGGGAGCTCTCGTATGTGTGGACCAGAATTTCAGAACCAACGCCTCAGAATAGAGACCAGGGACACTGCACTACAGGAAATGCTCCTCCTTTTGATGAGATGGTGAGTAAAGATTCCATGACACTTCTTGAAAGAGCAGCTATGTTAACTCCAGTTTACTGGCTTAATTGTAATCTGGGTTTGGTTACCATTAGTTCAAGCATTTTCTCACATCTCCACATGATCTGCTGTGTGGGGAGGCTGCTGGTGCACAATGGAAACCGCATGCTATCCATGAGGGTACTGGGTTTCTGTGGTAAAACGGGTCCCTTCCTATATGAGAAGCACTTTAGGAGTCTTTGGCATGAGAATCACAATTTAAATGCAAATGGTTTATTTCTGTGCAACTGTTGCCTTTCCAGTTACCTTATTTCTTTAAGAACCTGATCCGCCTCTGCTGGTGCCACATTTGTTACTTCATTATACAGAATTATTGTAAGCCGATATTTCATACAACTGATATCCACTGCTTCATGTATTTTTGCTCTGATATTTTTTAACAGTTCTTTGAGCTCAATGTTGTCTTGGATTAGGTTAACAGGTTAACAACAGCAATGATCACAACAACATGGTTAGAAATATCCACAAATCTATACTTACAGTCTTCAGGTAAAACTTCTTTGAATTGTTCATAATAGGAATTCAAGCGAGCCAGGCTCTCCGTGTTAATGATTTCTTGCAGTGATGTGTCTCCAAACCTTATGAATAAAGAGGTTAATAATAAGCAGTGTGCAATAACCTAGAGTATAGTAAATCACATATATTTATAACCCACACTTGGTCAGTCTAGTATTGTTTCCCCAAAACAACCACAGACTATGTTTTTTTTTTATATCAGCAAAGAGGCTGTTTAAGTCTGGAGCAGCTGTTCATATTGATATAATAAAAACAGATGCAATAAATATTATAGGTAATAAATATTATCCGGACTGGTGGTAACATGCGCACTTTAGAGGAATAGAAATCCAGACGTCTGGTGTGAGAGACTTCATTAAACATTAATACAAAAGTCACCTCCCCTCATCAGACCAGTACAAGTGTCCGCGAGTCTCTGGAAAACGGGAGCCTTACTTCTCTGCCAGGGTCTGCTGTTCGTTGATCCCCACATTGAAGAGCACCGGCTGGACCCTCAGCAGCATCCCGTTCTGGATCTCCCGCGGCAACGCGTCAAACATGGTGCCCGGGAGCGGGATCCGCACGTTGAACCCATCCCTGGAATCAGAAAGAGGGTGACAGCCTTCGCTCCGGGGATAACTATTCCACAAGGAGGGACACGGTTTCAGGCTGTAAGCTATGTGCTGCAGTCCCTCAGTGGGAGAGCTGACTTTAACAATCACAATCACAATCGTCCTCATCATCATCCTTTCCCTCTTTTAATGGAAGACATAGGAGGACTTTCTGATATCGATGCTGTTTGTTACTAGGACATTGCTCTCCTCCACCTCGGCAGCAGGCCACACAGTGCAGAACCCCTGAACCCACTCCCCTCTCTGTCCATCATCCATCAACAGTCAGGTCGATAAACTGCAGCTGCAATTAACACAAGCAACTAACCAGCGAAAACACCGTAATTCTGAAAAAAATAAGACTTTTTATTTGATGCGTATTCATCCATCATGTTAATCAGAGACATTATGACTCTTTTCTGCCTTGTATATGATTTTATCTGCACCAGACTGCAGGCCTTAACGTTGTTAGACCACCTTCAATGAGATGGACGTGAATGCTCAGCTGTCCATGGCTTTGTACCTGTTTCCCGTGATGACTGGCAACATGTCCACAGACGAACTGGAAGTCGCCTGGGTCACCTTGAACGTGACGTTTCTCATGTCCATAATTCCTACGCTCATATCTTCCAGCATAGACAGCTCCTCTCCTGTGAGAGTAAAGAAAGAAGTGTCACACCGATGCAATCGGATAACCTGTATAAGTTATGAAAAGCATTAGAGAATGGTAGGCTTCACAGACAGGAGATTGTAGTAGGCACCTTTTTTACAACTCACTCAGGAATGAAATCTTTAGACGTTAATGTGGGTATAATTATGGTGTGGATATTGATGAAGCCCAATGCAGCAATATACTTCTTGACGAATGGTGATTATACAGTGTTTTTATGTCCCAATTTCACTGGTTTAGACAACTTTACTAAATATCAGGGCTGCAGTGTTTTCACAACTCCTAACACAAGATGAATTGAGGTTAAATTCAATTTCTTCTGTTCTGTATGAAAAATTCTCATGTGATAAAAAATTGCTTGAATTTGCAAATGAACATGAAGTTACATACCACACATTATTTATTTTACATGGAAAGACAAATGAATGGAAGCTGGTCAAACTTAAGTAGTTTGAAGAGAAGAGGAGCAATGATACAGCTTAATGAGCAACTAAAAATTCAAAATATTCAACAGTGAGTTTAAATTTGGCTAAAATGTTTATTAAAATCTATTATTGTGTATATAATCACAAAGATTCAAAGCCCAAACTGTTCTGTTTGTCTCACAGGAAGAAAAGACTTTAAAAAGATTAAGATTAAAGCTACTGAAGTCAAGGTAAGACATGAATTTGGAATATTATGTTGAAGCCTCTTGAAACTGTAGAAGGGTAATAAAAATACACTATCACTATTGATAGTGTGTTTTTTAATTACAATTTTAAAGTAATTTATTCTTTAAAAAAGTATTTATTTAGTAAAGTATTCAATTAAAATCTTCACACATTTTCAGTGCCTTATTGGCTGTTTTTTGGTCATGTCAAAAAACAATCACTATAGGAAACATCTTTTAGCTTTAATCATTTTTTTCCCCCAAAAAGCTGCTGCTGTACTTTACTAACAACAAAATGTAACATTGTCTCCCACATTTACTGCTTTCATTTTTGTTACCGTAGGTACTGAGCAGACTCTCAAACTGAGCCAGCAAGCCAATGGTATGGAGTTGACGCAAGAATCCATCATCACGAAGACAGTTTCTTAGTTTGATTATAAATCCACAAATAAGGGCTGTAAGCTGAAAGAAAAATATATACATATATTAATGAGGGATGATGATGTTTCGCAATGAACTCATATAACAGTTACGGCAGATGAAACGTGATTCAGTGAAGACTGAATCTTTCACTAGGATACACCCCCGAAAAATGTTTTGTCTCAAAATCCAGTGACTGAACATTTGTTTTACTCACTGTTTGACAAAAGACAACATCCCTTCGATACTGCAGGCTCAAGTCCATGGCGATTGTGGGGGCAGTGTCTTGCATCAACAGGAAGACCATTGACTTTTTAGCTTTATCGCTCATCATGGCTACACATTCAGTAAGAGTTGTGAGCAAAGGATATAAGGCTTCACTCCACTCCCCTGGAAGGACAAGACTGGATTAGTTAAACATTCTCTCCCTATTCCGTCATCAAAAACATCGAACCATCTGATTCCTTCATTCTCTAAATCCTAATTACGCAGTTAAGCAAATGTTAGCCTTTTCTCAGAAAAATGGGAATACTTTAACTTGCAATAAAACCCAGTAATTACACTACGATACCGGCTCCTATCTGAAACACTGTAATTAACAAGTGGAGAATACTGAGACTTTCATGGGAATAATCTCCAAAAATGAATCATCCAATTTCAAGAACCGCTCATTCCAAAACTGGTCGCAATGAGTTGGAGCCTAGCTCAGCAGGTGCCACTCAATCACAGGGAACACACACATGCACACCGGGGACAATTTAATAATGCCAATTAACCTAGACAGCATGTCTGGTATCATGGTCATCACATGAGTAGAACTGTCTGCAGACACACAAAGGAAGCAAAACTGTTTTTTAAGTTTCCAGGTGTAGCATGTAAAAACCAACAGGGCTTCATCTATAATCACAGCAGTCCCTTCTATGTGCAATGAATCTCCAAGATGTGGAATAACTCAAAATTAATTAAATTAAATTAATCTGACCAGGTGTGAGATTTAAAAATAGTTAATGACAAAAATATATCCACATGATTATGTTATAAATAACAGTAGTAACGGTCAAAAGCTAAAATAATTAGGAAACTTCAACATAGCTGCAAAAGACACTTTATACATTTGAACTTTTATGTATTTTAAGAAATGTCTGGGACCGAGATGAACTCAGAAATAATCACCGTGTCTTATTCCTGCTCCAGCTTGTGTAAGATACGAGATGCCCTGTTCAAACATTAGAAAAATTGAAAACAAAGGCTACATTTACAAATAAAATATACTGTACTTGTAATTCAACTGTCATAAAACAGTTATAGAAAATACAAAAAACCCAAACCTGATAGTATAAAGACCAACTGCCTCGGAGACAAAGAAGACTAAAATATAAACATATTTTTATATTTTATATTTTAAAATATAAAAATATTTTATATTTTATATTTTAAAATATTCAAAGCACATATTAAAAGGGACGTAATGGGAATTTAAAGCTCCTGAAAGTTAAATGCAGGACCCAAAGAGAATGTTCAAAAGGGAGATTATTCCTGTTTGAGTTTGCCTTCAGCACAACCCTGTACTTGCAGTCATCAGTTCCACTGGAAAAGGAAAACAAACGTCACGAGGGCACCTTCTCTTTCTAAGCACCAAGGAGCAGGGAACTGCTTGAATCTAGCGGAAGCACTGCCTTGCAGCAACAGAAGGAGACGCGCCCTGAAGCAGAAGTGCTGAATGGAAAGAGCACATACCTGGAGAGGCCTCCTCAGCAGGGGGGCTGCAATCTAAACAAAAATGGAGGCGCAACATGCATGGTTAGGAAGCAGCATTGTCAACATGGGCAGCTCTGAAAACACTGGCTGCACTCGGAGCTAAACTGAGCTTCAACTGAGCAGTCGAAAAAGGCAGTAACAAAGCAAGGAGCAGGCGGGTATGTTCAAAGTGAAACGGATCCGTCCTTCGGATGAGACGTAAAACCGAGGTCCTGACACTTTGTGGTCATTAAAAATCCCTGGGTGTTTCTCGAAAAGAGTAGGGGTGTACCCCGGCGTCCTGGCCAAATTTCCCATCGGCCTTTATCAATCATGGCCTCCTAACAATCCCCCTCTATATATTGGCTTAATTACTCTGCTCTCCTCCCCACTGATCGCTGATGTGTGGTGAGCGTTCTGGCGCACTATGGCTGCCGTCGCATCATCCAGGTGGATGCTGCACATTGGTGGTGGTGGAGGGGAGTCCCCATTGCCTGTAAAGCGCTTTGAGTGGAGTGTCCAGAAAAGCGCTATATAAATGTAAGCAATTATTATTAATTATTATTATTATATGCCTATGTGAGAGAATCTGTGGGGGGAAAAAAGCCAGAGGAAAAATAAAACCTTGAAACGTGTGAAAGTACAGAGACCACTCAAGAAAATCCGCCTTTTTGTCAGACATCACCGCCGAGTCAATATGTCGCTGAACCAAGTGATTGTATTGCCTGGTCTGTCCTGATCCATGTGAACAAGTATGTGTGTGAGCTTGCAGGTGACAAGAACTTCATGTGAGAATCCTACTACTCAAACTAGGATTGAAATAAGTATTCAAATAACTTAAAAACTGAGTAATGTCAAGGAAGTTTGGTTGAACCACTTCTCTGAGATAAATGCCAGAACAGAACATACTATAACTCCTCAAGGTGTCTGTAGATAGAAACTCACTTACTGTAACTCAGACACAAATTACTTAATGTACAATTAAGTAATGTATAGCATTTGATATGTGTAAGGGAATTACTATTTACATTGAACCAAACCTAAGTTTAACATAATTGAGATGAGAAAAGCCTAAAACAACAATTATGAAGCAAAGCAAGGTATTTTGCTTGTCAGTTTCTCAGTAGAAGTGCTTGCTGCACAAGCTGAGAAAATGGAAGGAAATACTGTGGGAGCAGCAAAGCTTTTCAGAGATACAGAGAGACTGGTCACGAGACACGGATTGGGAAAATGCAGCCCTAGCAAAAACAACCATTGCTGAACAATCGTCAGACAATAACCCTTTTGAGTGTACACTGGTAATCCAAACCCTATTCCTTCAGAATTAACCCCACTTCAAGAACTCCCTCATTAACAATTTACACCCAGCTGCATTGCTGAAGACCAGGACTACGGTTCTAACCCACAGTATTTCATAAAACCCTGTGTTAAATTATTTTCAGTCTCTATATATCCTTCTGAGCTACAGTCTGCATGAATGCAGTACGAATTGAAGATGCACAGTTTCTGTAGTTTACTTTTTATTGTGGTCTGATTTCACACTATGAATAAGTGTGTATATATAACAGAATAAATGCAATACACCTAATTAAACATTTAAATAAAATGTAATATGATATATAAAAATAGCTAATATTTCTACTTACTCAACATTTAAACACTAAGATTAGTTAAAAGATGGTTAATGCTGTTTATATAGAGAATTATTCACAAAGCCACAGAATGTCATTCAACTGCTTGTGACTGAAGGAAATCTACCAGTGCCCTGGATCCCTCTGCACCCTTCTCCCCCAAAATAACAGTAAACATTTTCAAGGGTCTTGTTTTGATCAAAATACATGTTTTTCGATGTTTTACATTTCTTATGTAAACGGTTCTCACCATGCACAAATGCAGATGTTGGAGATGTTTCCAATATGCTAGCCTTAAAATATCTTACTGCACAAAACAATTACTTACCTGATTACCTAATAAACACAAACCTGATGTGTGAATAAATGTTTCTAAACAAAAGGCCTTCACTAGTAGGTTATCGCATTTTTCTGTGAGCTACCCAAATGCACCAGTACTTTGCAATTTAAGAGGAACAGTTAACATATAGTATGTGAAAAAGAGAGGAACAGCAAAAAAACTAAATAAACATACAGTACGTAACAGGAGGAACTAAGGAAAAACAGTGTGTACATAAATTTTTAAATGAATAGCGGTGTGTATTGGCAACCACAGTTCAAAGTAAAAAAAAACGAAAGCAGTGTTAGTCACATTGTGGAAAAATGATCTTGAGTTATCAAATCATGCTGTAAACCTGCACCCCAGCACAACACTGAAAGGATGCGTGAAGAAAAAAAAACATGCATGCTGATAGAAGGAAGGGACTTTGGCTGAATATAGCAAAAGTTTGCTCCTGTGAGTTTTTATTTTTATTCAGGTTAATCTGGTTTAAGAATGTTTGAAAAATATGAATACCTGCACAACAGGAGCACTAAGAGAAAATGTCATCTTTGTATTCAAACAGTTTCTGAAAAGCTACAGTCTGAGGGCTTGCATATTCTATTTCAACCTTACAAATCCTTTCTGTCTGGAAAACAACAGAAACCAGACACTTAAGATTCAGCATAGACATCACCAGTGTTTCAGCACTTTTACCATATATATACACAGACCCCTGTTACTACAAAACAAGCATCTCCAAATAGAAGTTGGAAGTTTATTTTTAAATTTATTAAATTAGTACCGTCCTATGTACATAAGTACAGAAGTGAACATTACTGGGAAATTCCAGTGCAAAACAAAAATCAAAAACCATCCCAAACTCATTTCAGAATGTGCTAGGTAATTATACAACAGGAGCTTACTTCAGAACATCCAGTGTTTAACCAATAAGAATCTGGAACCTGCAATTACATTTATGAATGCCTATTATTGCCCCACAGTGATGTGAAATAGCCCCTGTTGTTTTACTTTACCAAATAATCAAAAGATGGCTTCCACAACGTCCTTTTAATGTGTCCAAATTATTGTACTTTATTTAATATTGGGCTTATTTGAGAAATCACCCCTACCAGTGCCATATGTTTGCAGCACAACAAGGAAGAGAAATTCTGATAATTACTATATCATCACTAAAGAAACTTATAGGAACAGTAAGCTTGGAATGGTTGGATTTGAATAAAAGTAGAAACTGCACTGTTAGAGCTAAGGTTAATTCCTTGATTTTAGGTCTGAATTCCTTGACCACTGCAATTACAATAAAAATTACTACTGCTGAAAGCCATGTGGAATGAAAAAATATTGTTAATCTAAGAATTTATCTCAGATTCAAGGAGAATCTAAGAGAGTTTCTTCCTTTAGCTCCACACTCATGCAACACTATGTTAGGGATTTACTTTTAAATGCAAGCTGGTTTCAGAATAGTTTTTCCCACTGCAACGTGTTTACCAGTATTTGTATTTGGCATAGACGGCTTTAACTACAAAAGTCAACTCAAAGAAAGCAAATGAAAAAAAAAGGTTCACCAATACGCACTTTTGTCAGAGAGAGCAAGGCATGCAGAGAGTGCTGGAGAAGATGAGGATGGTGTGGCAGATGATGGCGATGCAGATGAACAAGACGAGCTAGTTTCCTCCATGCAGTCTGGATTAATCCAGTACGCTCGCCTCTCCAGGTTACCTTTCTTGCTGGTGCTGCTGGTGTCGCACTGGAACACATCTTCGCAGCTGTCGCTCTGCAGGCGGTCCTTCTGCAGCAGCTTGTCCACGCGCTGGATGATGCACTCCAGGCTCTTGTCAACGTTCAACCACACCTTCTCCTGCAGGGCGAAGCAGTATGGCATTAAACAATAAGGGCTGTGTTTAAGAAAACCAGGCTTTGTTTATCAGCTGGTTGTTCTCGCCTTGACTGCAGCCCATGATAAAAAAAAAGCCTTGAGAACCAGTAGAAAGTTAGGGGAAGACAGAAAAAGTAGTAGGCCTGACTAGATTGATCTGAAATGCTTTGATCATCCATATTCTGTTAACATACAAATATAAAAGTAGCACTGCTAGTTGGTTGAAAACCTAAAACTGTCACAGAGCATTATTTGTGTTCTTGTCTTTCACAATTGATTCTGAAGAAGTCCGCCGGGTTGATGTTGTCAATGCCCTTGAGGAATCAATAACTGAATGAGGTCCCCAATTTCTCTTATCTTGTCAAGACTCTTGTCAAGAAAAAAAAATAATTTCAACTTGACACAGTAAGCCTGGGAATGTGTTTGGTTGCTCTTCTCTGGACTAATTCCAGAGAAGCCATGTTTGTTCTTATTATGTGGTGACCCACAAAATGATTACAGCAAAATATTCTAATTTAGGTCTTACTGTCACTTTGTACAGCTCTTCATTTAAATCATACACTTTTTTCCAGTATATCATGACAATCTGTTTGTACTTTTTCTAGCTCTCCTACCTAGTAAGATTTCAAATACAGCTGTACAGACTAGAACAGTTTGACTCCTGACTACATCAGTAAACTGCTAATGCCCGTACACATACTCTACTTTACACTCTTCGGACTCCGGTCTTCTTTCACTTCCTAATTCTGTCTTGTTGGTCCCAGCCTGATCAGAACGTGCAAGGGACTTTCACATCCTGTCTTAAAACAACTTTTTTTACTTCCTCTTATTATTCTGTTTAATTTACAGTTTTCATTTTTGTATAGCGGTCTCTTTTGATTTGACTGCTCTGTTGTACAGCACCTTATGATTACGTACTATGTGCTCTACACAAAATAAGTTCTCTTTAATATTAACGTCGCTGTTGTTTTCCACACAGGACAGCAAAGACGAGCAGGGCCGACCCACCCATTCCTCCTCGTGCCAGTTGGCATGCAGGGACGAGCGGCTGTTCTTCCCTGCCCACTTGGCGACGAGAGTATCCTGGTCGTTCCTCAGGACCACCTGGTCGGAGTCCCCAGTGGTGGGTGAGGCTTTAGAGGCGATGTACTCAGGCCGGGCGGCGTTCAAGGCCTGGATTGAATTTGCCAGCAGCTTGCAGTCACACACAGTGACCAGCTGCCTGGTCTGCGATTCAAATGTGACATGGACATGCTCAGAAAACAGGAGAAGCTGCAAACCCAAATCATGCCTGAACTAAAGATGGAAGAGGAAACTGCAGGTTTAAAATGACTTGAGTGTACCCCAAAAATAAACAAGGCATTAAAACTAAAGTCAAAAAGCATTGATCATTATTCCGACCTAAGTAAACATCGGAAAAAAAACCCAACAAGTATTACTGCACTTAGGTTTACAGACTTTCAATATATGTAAGTCATATTTGTTTACAAAATTTTGCTTTAAATTCACAACGACAAAAAGTTATTTGTGAAATGATCTACATATATATACAGTAGCTTTCCTTTATTTGCCATTTATAATTTCTACACAAAGCAATAATAATTTTTATTGTCAAAAAACACCAAGGTAATTCTGGAGAGAGAACAAATATGAATTACACCCTTGATCGGTTAGAGGCATTGAAATATAATATGTTAATATGTCGTCTATTTTTCTTTAATGCATCTAAACAGCAAAGTCCACCTCACCTTATCTGCCAAAATAGCCAAGGTCCTCTCCAGCCCATTAACAGAGCGCTCCTTGGCTGCTCTGGAGAGCCTCTCGGCGTAGTAGCTGACCTGCGTCTTCAGGGTATTGATGTGTGCAATGATCTCCTTGGCTCGAATGATGTCTTGTGGCATATAGACAATGGACTGCGAGCTAGACACGGAGCTGCTAGAGATTAGAAAGGGCAAATCAGCCAGGTGTCAGGATAACCTCACGAACTGCACAACAGAACAATGATTGTCGCCACTTTTCTACAACAATTTTCATTCTTTAATACAAAAAGAAAACTTGAAGTTGACTTTTCCTTTGACAGAAGCAGGGTACAAATCACACACTGGCGGAATGGCCAGTAAAATGAGATTAGCGACTCTCTCATTTACTGTGCATATGTATACACTGTGGCTATTCATTCTATTAAGCACACAGAGTTCACAAATGCCAACAAGCAGACAAATTAAAAGGCAGGTATCTTGAAATGACATCCACATTGTAATCCCGGGAACCGATTATGCTTTTGTGTGATGCTTATTTGTACAAAGCATCTGGTAGCAAGCTTGAGATGTCTTTCTAAAACCTATTTTTGCAAGGCGTGCATTAGTGAGCAACACTTTTGATCTCTTGAAGCACGCCAGAACTAGCAGTGAGCAGTGCGATGCAGAAATGTATGACAAAGATCTGGGACACTCTGAAACACTACACAAGGACCAAAGCCTGTAAACCTCTCTCACTGACCTAGCAAAGGCTCTGCTAACATATTATTCCACAAGATGCCTAAGGCAACAGGCTCCAAGATATGTTACGTACCTAGGCTAGAGCAGTTTATACAATACAAAGGAACATGAACCCTGCATGCTAGACTTACAGTACTAAAGTAAATCAATGGGACGTCCTTGTAATTTGAGCCCTGCTTTGTAAAAGGAAAAATCTGCAAAAACTAAGGCTCATTATGAGCCCTTGAGTGATAAGGCCACATTAAAAAACTTTCAACTCAAGACACGTGAACATGCAGACACTTCTAGTATGCTTTACAATTCTTGATAATCATGTATGAAACATTACAGATGAGAAGAGGCCATGCAGCTAGTCCTGTTTATCCAGTTCATAGTAGCTCATTGCACATAAAGTATATTCTGATTGACATTTGTGAGACAGCAGTCGCATGCTTATTTCAAATTCCCTTCAATACTTCTGTAACTGTGCAAATCGGTAAACAGCAGCCTTGGTGATTTAGTTAGATGACAAGCAAAAGCTAAAATAAACACCTCTGTGTTGTGTACAGCAGTAAAACGTTTTCTGGAACTTTACGGACCTTCCATATAATAAATAAACTGATCGTGAAAAAGTGTGCAAATGTGAAGCGAAAGAAAACTCATACAGTAGATCTCTCACTGGATGATTTTTACCATAAACACAAAATATAAAGGCTGCCAGATTGTCTTTTTTGGGTAACACTGGAGTGTTAGAATTAAATACCTCACATTCAGAGAATCATGTAAAATATCATTACAAATCTTATTTGGTTGTGTAACAGAGTGAAGTACAGTATAAAGATTTTCAAAGAAGATCCGCTACAAGGCAAAATGACATTCACCACAATCCGACTGAGATAAGTTGTCTATTCCGATGCAAGGAGTCTCAGAACAAGCAGCACCATGCCAAGAAAGTACCACATTACATCTGAAGACAACTGAAGTCAAACCAGACCACATCAGAACACATGAAGAAAGGCTGAAACATATTTGCATGAAAAACAAATAATTAAGTTTTTCATGCAGGCTGGTGCACAAAATGGAGAAATAACTGAAGAAAAAAATAATTTAAATACTAGGAACTCACCAACCCTCCTCATAAACGCTGATTAGAAAACAAACAAGCAATTAAAAAGCAATCAAATAAGAAACCTTTTTTGACAGAATGCTGCAGTTTAAGGCAGCATTGCAAAACTAGCATGCGAGGCGAAAGCAATTTAAAGCAAAATGAAGCCAAAACAGCAGTTCTAATGTCGCCATGCAATTATTAATGTTAACAAGAAAGAAATTCAAACTATACTCATCAAACAATACACTTCAAAATGAGAAAGCATAAAGCATAAGTTTGCTCTATACATATATAAAGCTGTTAAATTATACATTTAACAAATCAAAAACAGATCAAGTTATTTTTTAAATATATTGCAAAAATGGAACGTAACATGAATTTATCTGAAAGGTAGTACTAGGTACTGTATACATGCAAATATGGATACAAGAGTTTAATAAAAGCATTTTAGAGAAAAAAATTAAGAGAATTCTTTAGATAGAGACAACCAATTAAATTGCATTTCAAATACATGTATTTAAAAAAATATGAACAAGCAGCACGTTTGGTAGACTTATAATGAAGACTCAGTTACAGAAAATAACACAAAGGAAAACCAATGGCTGCTACAGTACATCTGTCAGCTTCGGTAAGTGGTTCTGTAACAAACTCATTAACATGGGTTAAATTTGGACCAAACAGAAAAAAAAATGCAAAACTTGAAAGGCTCTTCATTTTCAAAGAAAAGGATAATAAGTAACAATAGCTGCAATTCTATATCTTCTCCCCACTCCCTTCCAATCATGTTCCATTTTCTTGAATAACAAATCACGTACAGTAAGGTCTCCACCATCTACGAATTTAACATTGGCAAAAGTTCACTTATTTGTGATTTGTCTGGCTGACAGGGTCTTGGATTTAAGAAGAGAAGAGCGGGATGAATTTCAAATTAAAAGCGCAGCAGACTAGGATCAGTAGGCGAATCCAGCTAGTGAGTGTGAGCCTCTCCCTGCCCCCTGTCCAAGTCCCCATTACCCAGAGTCTGAATGTGGACTTGTCTGTGTATTGTAACGAACGCTCCAGGTTCTGTGTCAGCAGTGTGGGGAATGACAGACTGGAGACGACTCTACATGCTCACTGACAGATTTACTGCCCTTTGCCCTTTTTAATGACAGTTGGGCATGCTAATCAAGGAGCAGGGACTGGCACAGAGAGAAAGTGCAGGAATCCGTTGGGCACAGAGGAGGGATTCAAGTTGTTCATTTTACCTCATTTTACTCTAAGCTTGTAATTACTGTTGTTTGTTTTAGTTGATCAATGTTATTAGTGCTTCAAATATCATATAAGTGAAGGTTACGCGTATCTTTTGACCTTCCATGCTAGATGCTGTAGTACATTACGTGACAGTATAGGGGTGGACTTGGTTACAAGTGAAACTGGCTCTTCGCAATGGTTCTTCACATCGAACTCTCGTGAATGTCGAGACCATAGTGTGTTACGTTTTTTTTTTAAATCTTGAAAATCTTTTTAAAAAATTAGAAATATCTAAAGCAGACATAGAAGGTGAAAGAAACTTCAGAAATGCAAGCTTTGCTATTCCCAACAGCACTTCTTACAACAGTCCCATCGACTTACTGCTTTTTGGCTTCTTCAAACTTGTGGATGAGCTTCCTGAGGCCACTATTCTTGAAGCCCTGGCAGTGAGCAGCTGGGGCCCCAATCGTTACAATGTCATATGTGTGGTCTGGAGAACAAGGATACGTCAAAAATACATCAAAGCCGTATCAACAGGCTCTTTCCACATGTAAGGACTTCCATCACAGTGAGAACAAAGACACATTGAATCTGCCACATTGTTTATCTCAATAGTTTATACAGAAATGCTTTCTAGTTGGATGGTGAGCTCTGTAAATGAATAACCGTCAAAATTCATGCTACTTCTATTCTGTAAGAATCTTTCCAGTTTACTACATGCTCTTTAAAGAGACAAACCAAGGGTGAGGATGTGTTACACTGGCAACATATGTTGCATAATACCTTCATGTGCTATGGAGTGATAAAACAACTGTCTCCTGTTGCACTGCTCATCTGCTGCTAATCACTGAAATTTAAAATGTGCCCTGGAACAGTGATTTAAAAAAACTGCTAGCAAGTCATAATTAAAAGAAGTCTTGTGCATTAACTTGGCCTTACCTGAGCCAGAATCATCCTGTACTCTCATTCTCTGGATATGGAGATTTGTTGGCATGAATTCTAACTTCTTTTCTGCTTTCAGATTGCTTGCCTTGAAAGAGGGCCCTGTGGAGACAATGATGTTTACAGAAAACTGTTAGACGTTTTCTGTTATACATGTGTCTCAATGACTTTTTTCATTTCTAAATTCAGAGCTAAGGAATTAAAGTAAAGAGACAAAACTCTATAATTAATGATTGTACAGTATTCTTTCAATACTAATGTACAGTATGACCATTTCATAGAATCCCACACAGTCTAATTCTTAGCCTAACACGTTTGGCTAATTTTTCTCTGATCTAAACATTTTCACAGATTTTTCTGTTTCTATTCTTTTGGATAGTGTACACAGTACAGACATGATAAGATTTAATTTCTTGTTTAAAACTTTTAAATAACAACATTGTGTTCTGGACTCGCACTGTTGCTCCATGAGTGCCAACAAGTACAAGCACAGCCAGAAAAGCATTTTGAGAAAGCCCAGCATGTCAGCTTTTATTATACAAATACTTGAATATCCTTGTGTAAAAAGCAAGTGAAAATGTGACGTAAAGAAATAATAAGAGTTGCAAGAACAAACTGCTGACCTATGTTCAGAGCATGACTTCACCTGTATCTAATTATCCACAGTGCACAGTTCTGGTTTTCCGCAGCACATTAAACACAAAAGATACTGCTCGTCTGTGCAGTGTTTGCCAGCATGGTAACATGACAAAATGTTTAAATACTAGTACAAAATTGGAAAATATAAAAGTTTAGCTAAAAGGGCAGCAACCAAATTAATTAACTAGATTATACACTTGAAAAGACAGTATTTCAGTATCAGAAACATATGCTGTATAATGAAATTAGAAAAATCCTTTAAGATATTTCTATTACTGTATTTTGCTCATCATCTGTATAAAGGTAACAGGACAAGAGCAAGTATTTCCCCCTGAAGCCATTCCTTTTTGCAAAGTTTTGCATCTCCTTTCCATTGTTGTTCACTGGGTGAGAGTAGAATTGCTGATAACATCCGATATGACCATGATTCCCAGCCTACAAAAGCATCAAATCAAAGGCTAAACAGCAGCCCCAAAGCTGCAGCAACAACAAAAAGAGTCAAACCAACATTTAAGAACTGCATCATCAGACATGGAGAGTTATTCCCATGTTGCACTGGGATTGTGGTCTGCCTTGAACCTGAGAAAATCATGGGAACATCGCAATCGTTCGAACTACTGTGCTCTTAACACTGTTACATGTTACGTGTTTCACATAAAAAACTGGGTGTTGATTCTATCTCTGAAAGAGAAATTGATGATAGCTATGTTAAAAAGCAGTACTTCAGGTCGGTTCTGACATGATAATTTAGAAAAACTTGAAATCCCTGAAAGAAAATACTATCAAAGATATCAGAAAAGCAATGGCTAATAATTTCATGTTTGATCTAAAGCAGGTTAGAGACTTAATAGGACGTGCTGACCTTTGTACTGATGAAGGTCTGTAAGGGTCTCCTGGTAGGTGAGAATGATGGTTTGGTACTGAGTGACGATCTGACGGCGCAGACTCTCCCAGCAGGGAGACAGCTCTCCTAGCTCCTCCAGCTCGCACACCCTGACAAGCACAGCAACACGCTCTGAGTTTCTGGCCCTCAGCACTGCACAGAGCTTACGAGATCTGAATCGCTGCCGAGAGCTACCCCAGCCCAGATCCCCCTGAAGTAACAGTTAGCAAACTCAGCAACCGGCTGGATTGTGTTGACACAAAGTGTTAATCACATAAAGAGAATCTGTCCCTTCTCTCAGCAGAGATATACTAGTTGGAAAAAAATGATCATGCATTCCGAATGGGAAAAAAAACAAATGAACCCAAAAGCAAAAAACAGAAAAGGAAGGGACACGGGGGTGTTTGACGGACTGCTTTAGTTGTATTGCTCAAGATGAATTGGATGGCTGCTGATGTTGCTTGTCAGACCTCAGATACTAAGGAAGGCAGGGCCTGGTCAGGACTGGGATGAAAGAAAACCCGGTTGCAGTTTTAAGTGGTGCGTGTGGGCCAGTAAGTAACAGTCTTCGCTATGGACACAAATTTCAAAAACAAGGCCACAATATAGTGAATAGGTACATAGGACTGTTGGAAGGGCCTTCCTTTTGATGAGAAAGAGAAACTGAGATCCTGATTACTTGGTCATTAAAGGGGCATTGCTAATAAGGTAGGAGACTAGGGGTATTAATTTTGGCACTAAATGAGAAATGTCCACTCCTATATACATGTGAGAGGCCCACATAATTTACATTTAACAAGGTTAAACAATGTGCTCCTTGCCGGCAGCCATATCACCCTGCAACTCACAACTGGCAACCCACTGAAGCTAAGCAGGTGTGAGCCTGGTCAGTACCTGGATGGGAGACCTCCTGGGAAAAACTAAGGTTGCTGCTGGAAGAGGTGTTAGTGAGGCCAGCAGGGGGCACTCAATCTGCGGTCCAGGTGGGTCCTAATGCCCCAGTATAGTGACAGGGACACTATACTGTAAATAAGCGCTGTCCTTCGGATAAGACGTAAAACCAAGGTCCTGACTCTCTGTGGTCATAAAAAATCCCAGGGCGTTTCTCGAAAAGAGTAGGGGTGTAACCCCGGCGTCCTGGCCAAATTTCCCATGCTTCCTGATAATCCCCCTCTATGAAGGGCTATGAATAGGCTACATTACTTTGTTCTCCTCCCCCCCCCGGTGGAGCGACATGCCGGTTGGAGTATTTCCTGGTTTGAACCAAAGATTTGGTTCAAACCACCAAATGGAGACGGGTGTGCCGACAAGCGAGGAAAGAGAGAGAAACAATGTGCTCCTTGTTTCTGCCCCTACAAAACATTAGGTCAGTAAATTCATAAGGTTTAAACCTACTAGAACCTGATGTTAAAATCGACTATCAAATGTTTTTAGTGGTTTGTAACCCATTTCATTACAATCATTAGACAACAAAATTAAGATCTTTTCGAGACTTGGGATGAGATGAGAAATTAATGACTAATGAATAATGGCTCTGAAATTATATATTTTTTTAACTGTGAGAGACATAATGAAAAGGGTGATGTGGAAAGATCCCCAGATTCTGAAGCAAGAAAGAAACCACAGTTTTAGAAGTTACCCATCCATAATCCTTTCAAGAAAAATTAAAAAACAAACAGCGTGCTCTTTACCTGGCCGCATCTTCCTCAAGAAGGAGCTTAACAAACTGGCGAGGGACGTTCAGAGAAAGTACACTCTCTGCCATCTGCTCCAGGATCCGCAGGTGGTTACCATCTGTGGTGGGTAAACGGTACATCCTGCTCATGGTGCCCCCAAATACTGCAAATAGAGGACAGAACAAATTCACCAAGACTGTAGAAGAAAATGGGCTCTTGAACCAGAGCAGCCCTGCTTTTCCAAAACAAGTGAATTAAGGGAAAGTTTCAAGGAGGATACATTGAACCAGTCTATGACGGAATTTAGCCAGGACAATAAGAATATACACATACTCTTACAAACAGTCAGGGATTATTAATGACCAAGCAACCAGGACCTTGGTTTAAGTTTTCTACTGAAGGACTGTAGTTCCTACAAGTGTTTACAGGCACTTTGGACAATTTGGTCCACCTACTGATCCACCAATGTCACTAACAGCAACCAACTGGACTGGGGGATTCCCATCCCTGTAGTGACCAGGCCCAGCCTCCTTAGTTTCTGAGTTCCAATAAACAACATCAGCAGCCGTTCTGGTCATATCAAGCAAAACTGCTCAAGCTGTGCATGAAGAGTCCCCAAACTCTCTTAAGTTTTTGAGACCTGATGGAAACAGGCTACATGTGTTTATTATTGCACAATTCTAAACAATGAAAGTATTTCAAGCAAACTGTCATTTTATATTTTGAATATGTATGCAATGAATTTATCACAGCGTTTCTGTCTCATTTTGGTCTGATCCTCTGCAGAGGATACTTTGAAACACATGCAGTATCTGATCTGGACTCTCCATTACTCTGTTCACAGCATGGGTCATCTGTATAATGCCATTTCCCATTATGCTGAGATAGTCCCAGACGTCAGAAACACAGAAAATAATAGCTTCAGCCATTTTAAGCATTGAATTATACTATAACACAGAAGGTGTATTGTAAGTGAAAATTTACACACACCTTGTGATTACTCCCTAAAATATGAGCTTTTTGTGCTGGAAATGCCTCCTCGTTACTGCAATGCAGTGCTGAGACATCCATTAATGACAAGCTTGGTACACATTTGGGAACAATTCTGAGGCTCTGCAGTCTGGATAACAGAATAACCCAAATGCATTTTGCTTCACCTTTATTTTGCTGCAAGCCAGTATTTATCAAACACAACAGAGAACATCTGCATCACAATCTTAACTAAGGATATTTTATTATCAGTGTTTTAGATTTGGCTATAGATTAATGTGGACATCTTATGAAAATACTGCACATCTTTGTATTCATGAACTATTTACTCCACACAGAAGGCAAGTCAGTCTGAAATCAAACCCAAGACTCAAGAGGTATGAGGAAACAGGCATACCAAATGTAATATTTATATTCAAATATTACAAACAGTCAGCTGAATAGCATGTCCAGGGGAGAACAGTGGATTTTTACACTGGTCCTGAGTTTTAGCAAAATAAAGCAGAAAAATGTACACATTTGGCAATGTATCTTCATCCAGATATGTTACTGTATAAACTGCTATCATCCAGTCCAACAGCTCAAAAAGCCCTTCATATTCTCAGAATTCACTTGCAGACACAAATGACAAAACCACAGTACATAAAATAATTTGAAATATTAATCTACAAATAAAAGAATACAACTAAAAATGTAAACTCCATCACTTAAAGAGCTATTTTCATGGAAAAAACTATACAGGCTTTGCTTTTTTGTGTGAACCAAAAATAAATCTTAACCTAATTTTAATGGTATACAGCATGAAAGTGGTATCTTATTTTGTTGTTTCAAAGGATTTTTTAACAGGGCAGAGAAAGAGAATCTCAGCTATTCACACAAGGATGTCACAGTCAGGTGCTGCAATTTTATAAAACAATATGTCAGACTGCTTAATCTCTGCCATTTCTGAGTAGAAAGCTCTTAACAGGCTTAATTTTAATGAACAGTCATGGGTGCAAATGACAAGCTCCCACAATTAGCATATGTTTCTTCCTTCTGCTGAAGCCCAATTGCTTACATTTCAAGCTGACAGTTGAATGAGATGAGTCCTGAAATACCACAGCAGACAAAGGGAAGATAATAGTTACAAACCCCACACATGTGTTAAAGAGTTGGGGAAAAACTGAAATCAATTTGCCTGTGACCAAGAACTTGATTAGAGCAAAACCCAGTTGACAAAGTGTTCCTACAGGACCAGGTGTTGAGAATCACTGTCTTAGGGCATGTCCTTTGTGTGAAAATTAATTTGAGTGAGCTCACAAAAAAGCAACAGATATACCACAACTGCTCTTTAGAGGAAAGGCTGAGCTATTTTTACTGTATATTTATGCATCATAATCTCCTTAGGCACCCATTAAGTAAATATTTCATTATCCTGGGTAAATGCGAGTCCAATTAATAATTAAATGTTTTGGGGGTGTTATTGAGGGTCCAGAGAAGGTGAAGAATCCCAAGGGCCGCCATTAACTTTACTTTGAAAATGGAGGAATTTACAGAAGGGCAATCCAAATAAGCACTTTCACAAGGCCTTTTCCAGTTTTAATCTGAGATCATAATGGAGTTTCAGTATACGGCTTCTTAAGTAGCAGTTTATCTGACATTAGTTTCAGTTTGAGAATATAAAAATCATTGAGGTGTTGAATTTTTTTATTATGAATAAACATTTCTTAAACACTAAGGATTAAAAGAAATCATGGTTATCCAATCCTGGTCCTCTAGGGCATCCAATCCTGCCAGTGTTTCTGCAGTTTTTCATTCCATCTCATATATTAATCTTAACCAGCTCACTGTCATGTTACCTGGACAACTCCTCAACAACCTCTTCAGTGCATTCAACCAGTGCATTGAAGAACCCTAGGAAATCTGTACTCACACTGGATCACGAAGCTTGAAAGGGTTCTGGGAAATTCTGATGAGTGTTTATCGATAAACACTTCACACCTTCCCTCAAAATAATCTCAACTGAGAAAGTTCTAGTACTGTATACTCATTATATCAAAGCACTGAATGAAATGTATCCAGGGAATACATTCAGGCACAAATGGATCAGAATCAGATTTGACAAAAATGTCAAAAAACATCCCCTTTCTATGAAAACCAAGCGATTGTAAACTTAGATTTTTCAATGGGATTTTGAAATGCAACTTACAAAATACTGTAGATGTACAGTACATGTACCTAACATTATTTTCTCATATGTCCTATATAAGCCATGTGTAGCCTCATTAAATACCATAAGTATCTCTGATTCAGCATGCTATTACCCTCATCTAATTGATTGTTTTCCAAAATGCCATAATTGTAGAAAAAAAATAACTTATTGCATTAGAAACAAATAATTGTTAAAATATGTGAAGTCTATGTTACATGTACAGTTTTCATGTAGACGTAGAATTGCCCCTTAGTAGCAATTATCAATTATGTTGTTTTTGTCTAACAGAAACGTTGTTCCTGCATATGTGAGCAGACATCTTGAAAGACAGATTGATCCATTTTGAATTAATATCCTCAGTGGGAAATGAATCACTCAAACTACTTTGGCTGTGGACTGACACGCAGCGGACACTGTCAATCCCGATTGCCCTATGTGCTCTACTTTGCAATTCAAAACGCACAAGTAAGATAATTCCCATCCCAAAAAACTTTAACCCATCCCAGTATTTAATTACACAGCTTACCCGTTTTGTTATCACAGCAGTGTAGTTTCACACAGGAAATTAATTTACCACTTGCTAAAAATAGAAAGCTAAAGCTGGTTATTAACTCTTTCCTAAACAGCAGGAATAAAAATCCCTCTGGGCCCTACCTGACTTTAGTAAAGTGTCTTTGCATAAAGAAGCATATTTTGCTCTTATTCCTAAGGATTCTGTCAGGCTTTCGTCGACGGGGAGGACTGTCTGAAATACAGAAGAATAACAGTTCTGAATTAGTGGCACTGGAACAGAAAATCAGCACCGGGCAAAGGGAAGGAAGCAAAACAGGCATGGAACAATTAAGTAATACTGTCAAGCCTGTTTGTACAAGGAAGTGCTTTCCTACTAAAAAAGGTGTTGGAGGATGCAACTGACCCGTTTTCCCAAGAAAGTATAAACAATATTGCGTCTGTTGGGCCTCCAAGTGTCAAAGGTGCTTAACATTCAAGATGTTATTTCTTTCTTTCTACTCTTCACCAAGGAATTAACCTTTACTTTGCAGGCTGCACACTGACACTGCTCCCTACTCAAACCTCAGGGAACAATTAAGACAACTCTGGTATCTTTTCAATCCAGCAATACAGTTAGCGGCTTAGACACTTTTACTCTTGGAGAAAAAACCTGTCTTGACACAGGTTTCTCAAGAGCGTACATATCTTTAAACATGAGAGTACTCTTTTTAACTCCTTTGTACACATTCATAGGTCCCAAGTAGCTCTGTTGGTTGAGCACGAGACTCATAATCTCAGGGTAGTGGGTTTGTGTCCCACATCGGGTGCCAGGTCCTCCATGTTGGAGGTTGGGCACAAGGCTAACAACCCTGTCCTGTACAAAACTAATGTTATGGTAACAGCAACAGGATGTTGCTGCCCCTTCATGCCGGAAGGTATAACGGGCAAACATCTTCATCCATAGATTCTGCTACTTAGACCTATATTAATGAGCCCGATAGTCTCAAAGTTTTCAAATCTCAACATAACCCTATTTAGAATCTGGGTCAAACCTTTGCTTATAAGTTCAATCGCAGTCTATTCAAAAACACTTTTTTCCTGGGCGCTTAAACAGATCTGGTACATAACGATAATGTCATTTTAGGATGATAGATTTGGGAAGCCATAATTGTTGAAGGTTTGCCTTCTTACTGCCATATGGCTGTACAGAGAAAAAATAATTAAAATAAAAATCACATTTTCATGTAATTAGCATATAGCTGTAGAAAATCATTGATAGAAAATGGACTGCATTTGTTACCAAGGAGATAGGCTTCTTTCTATACATAGAATGTACAATTTATTTTTTAAGTATTTGATATGAAAAATAAATAGAACGAAACAAAAACAATTAGTCTTTCTACAGGTAGATTTTATCTTTCACAGTTTCATAAATGCAAACTGCACATAGTAAAAGGTTATGTTGCCATGGAGACAATTTGCCATGAAATGTCCCATCCTGGCTTGTTGTAATATACAGCACAATATCAAGTACAAAGCTGTTATTTACCCTTCCATTGATTGTGTCTGGTAGCCTTGTCACAGGAGACCTTTGGTCTCTCTTCTCCTCCATCTGCCAGGCTATGATTGTGATGTTGCCCACACGTTCATTTTCAGCAGATCTGCAGTAACAGGAAATTCCAGGGTTTTATTTAGGAGCTCATGGCATACAATACAGGTTCTGTTATTTGGGAGCGAAATGACAGGTTTTTATTATTTTCACTGAAGTAATTCTAATTTACTTGATTGCCACAATGTGAAAAAATTGAGAATTCCTTTATTAATCCACTAATGTTAGACGGGGAATTCGTAGCATCTTGTGAGACAGCCCTATAGCTTTCCATTACACGGTCAGTTATCTTGCCAAACATTTAGTATTATGTGAACTAATTTCCACTGTCAGAAAGCACGTATACTGTATATGCAAGAACATTGTATCATCTCAGAAGGACAGCAGATTATCTGGTGATGTTTGAATACAAATTAAACTCATTCATTAAGGCTCTGCTCAAAGCAATTGTTTTAAGAGAACTTTCCCAAGCAGGAACACCAGACCCAGAGCACGTGTTACAAAGCAAATAATGCACCATATACTGGTAATACCATCTGTGTTTCAAATTACAAAGATTGTTGAGGTCAACTGCATGACTGAAAGTTGGCAAATAAAAGAAAGTTAATAAGAACCTGAAGCATAAAATACAGTTATAGGATCATCAGATCAGGGACAGGATTCCTGTTCTCAGTAGGGAATTTAGTGTTGTAAAGTTAAAAAAGTATACAAGCACATTCACCCCAGTGGTAGTTCACATACTGTATTAGCAGATTGAGCGGGAAGAGTCATAGTCCATTAACCAAGCTAAAAACCACCAAAACATTCACACAGGTGTGAAACCATACAACAGCAATCAGCGCTGGAGTAGCTGAAGTTGGTCAGAAAACTTGAAGAGGCACCTACGCCTTCACAAAGAGGAGTCGTTACAATCGCAGTGATAAAACGTTCAATCGTTTACCACCTTAAAAAGTCACCAGCAAATTAACTAGGAGACAGAACATTTAGCTGCAGTCAGTGTGGGAAGTATTTCAGTATTTTTAGGAGACCTGAAGAGGCTCCACTGCACTCACACATGCAAGAGACTGTTCAGCTACAGTGTGGGAAGCCGGAGTGTGGGAAGAGTTTTCTATCAAATTGATAAGGCACAAATACACAAACACTGAACAATCCTTACATTCTTTTGTACTTGTAGGAGGATATTTAATTATTCAGAAGCTTCAAAAACCAACAATACCATTTTTACAGACAGGCCTACAGTACATGCACAAATGCCCTCGATCAAAGTTTTTTTTTAATTATTTTACCTGAGCATAAGGTGTAACCTGTGCTGCTTCTCTTGTAATAGCTCTTTCACAGTGAACATTGCAGAACCCAGCAAGTACATCTGGTAAGGATGATAAAAATAATGTTACTTACAAATCATTCAGTAGGGGGAGCCACAGTTAAAATGTAGAACTCACTTTTTCAGATATTTCCTGCACATGCATCTTTCAGATTCACCCATGCTAAGTACTTTATAATATGAAAACTGTACTTTATAACCACTGTAGCCAGTACTTCACATTTAATCCAAATATTTATTCTTTTATGTAGTACGATGGTGAAATATTCATTAATTTCAGTCCACATTAGAAACACTGAAGAAAAGACTGTATTGGGGATTTCACATATTTCATGGTGCTATCATTAGTTAGTAAACCACGTAAGTATTGACATAATAACCATTCGCTCCAACGAATCCACTGGCAATGGCAATCCACCAATCAGAGGTGAAGAACTGGCATCAACCAGCCCCCACAGCACCCAAAAATTAATGAAGGGCCTTTCTCGCACACAAGTATGGAAACAGACACTGCGGCAACTTACTGAGAAAAAAATTGGCTTTATTTAAAGGTTAGCAGTCATCATCACAGGTCAAACACTTAAATGTTCGAACAGTTACTCAAAGGAGTGAGCTAATCGAGTGGATACAACCACAAGACAAATGATGTCCATGTCATATATTTGTGCCACAAGCTTACCAAGGTTTTGAAGACCTAAAGTACAGCAACTTCTTACCGTTCCCTGAGATCGGTCCTTGACATCGTACACCGAGAGCTTCACCTGTGTCTGTTGATTGATCAGAGAGTCCTGGAAGAAGGCAATGCTGCTCAGAAAAATTGGGTTGCTTGTGCCCTGTGGGATGAAAAACAAGAACATCAATAATCCTGCTTTGTCTGTTTCCTTCATTATTATTAACAGTATTGACACATGTGCTCATTAACCCATAGAAGAGTTTATTCAGGTACGTTAATATGCTAAATTGCCTTACTGCTTGTGATAGGAATTGATGCACACTTTAAAAAATTATTAAAATGAAAATGAACATTTTTACATCAACTCCACAGATTTTTTTCTAAAATTATTTCCCTTCTCTTGGTGATCAGCTGTTTTTCCCATTAAAATAATTTTATTTCGATATTCTGTCATTAATAATCATAGTAATTGTTATCCTTACCTCTATAATCTCTGTCTGGGCATGCTTTGTCCAAAATGCTTGAGGAGGAGTAGTAACACTAACTGCCACAAAGCTGTTAGGTTTTCGATCTAAAGCTGGTGTAATTAACTCACTGCAAGCTAGGGAAACAAACCACAAACAAGTTAGTGAGAACTCAACAGAAATGTCAGTCTGCTTGTGAAGCAGGCCGACAAACCTGTTAAAAGTTTTAAAAAAGCAACCTAAGATACTGCAACCAAACAGCGAGCTGACCAAAAGATTTCCCATTTTATATGGCAATATTGATAAGGTCTCTAAAATAGGAGAAGAAAGAGGATCTGCAGACTTGCTCTTCTGAAATGTCCACTTGTTAAGGCCATTCATCTGTTAATAGGGAACCAGCTCCACAGTTCCTTCCTGGAGAATTAGCAGCCATTCGAGGACCAGCGTCTGTCTCACTGCTGTTTCAGCAAGCAGATGACTGGCAAATGTCAGGAACTGCAGTTTAACCATTAGTCAAGAGGACCTGGCTCAAATAGGCTAACATCCACTCCTATCTCACTGTCCCTCTGCACTTATACTGTATGTCACCACTTGAAGAAGTCGGCGAGTGATGTGACTCTGGCTGGGAACAGTGACACCTGTGCCACAGGACAACTACGTTTTATGTTAAAGTCTAACATAACTGAGACTGGATCATGTGGGAGTGGGAAGCAGTCCCTCATGAATTTGTACCGCAGCACCATAGAAAGTGTCCTCACTGGTGGCATCACTGTGTGGTAGAGCAATACTACAATGCATGACAAAGATGCACTACAAAAGGGTTGTGCCAACGGCACAGAGGATTATAGGATGTGATTTACCATCAATAGGTGAGATTCACACCATCCGCTGTGGCAATAAAGCCTGATCCATCATTCAGGATCCCAACCACAACCGTTACCCGATCTGCACTCTGGCAAGCGGTACCGAAATATTAAAGCAAGGACCATTAGACTTAAGAACAGCTTCTATCCCACTGCAGTACACATTCTCAACAGCTGACTGCAATGCCTCAGACTCAATACACACCTGCACTATGCACTTTTTGCATGGTCTACCTTGGTTTTTTTCACTAATACACAACATATGTATTCTTCCTGTTGTTGTTATTTATTATAATTAATAATTATTATAATAACTACTTTTATAATGTTATTAGTTATTATAATTTATTATTTGTAATGTACTGTCTGCATTGAGTAGTGTTGTCTGTTGTACTGTATATGTCCCGTGAGATCAGCGCAATTGAGAATTCCAATGTACGTGTACATACTGTATGGATGTAAACTACTTACCTACTCTATTCTACTACGCATATTGTAGATGTCATACCTGTAATGGTGGCCCATTATTTTTATTCTGGTTATTATACACTGTTTATAAAACAAATGTGTAACCAATTTGAAATATCCCAAACCAGAAAAGGGAACTGTCAACCTATGGACTTTATGCAACATTGTTTTAGAATAATTTAAAGCCATAATTTAAAACAGGATTATGGGTGGACGGAACAATCTGTCCATGCAGACAGCTGAAGATTTGCTGGAAACCTCCTAGACAGGCCATTTTTAAATCAATATACTGCTAACTAACCAAAATGGCAATGTCAGACTAAGAATTATCTCCTTTTTGTAATCTTTTTTGTGGTTTGGTATTCACAATGTTTGCCATAAACTCCAGTTAATTGTCCACGTCACCCAGTTTTCAGAGAAATAAACAGAATTAAGCCATTTTTTCCCTTTCTCAATAACACATTTAATCCCACTAAAGCCTAGAAGACTCAATATTGGAAAAAAAACACTTAGATCATTTTGCCCAAAACATTTCCAAACTGAATGAACAGATTGAACTATTATGTTTTAAAGAAACATTAAACAATGACTTAAATCAGCTGCATTCTTATTCTCGTTGTAGAAGGAATGTGATAACATATACATCTTCCTTCTGAAATCTGTTCTTTAAAAAATTCCAAAGGCATTTCTACAGCGCAGTGTTTCAGTTATGAACAGACGTCTTTCATCATATCTTTCATCACTGAAAGCAAAATTATGAAAATTTAAGAAATTATGCAACTGAATTACTTTAAAGACGGAAGGAGATAAGCAATGTCACATTACCTAAAATGTCTGGCTTTTAAGTAATTAAAATAGCATGAACAGTATGGGTTCTGTAGGGTGTGTCTGCACTGTGGTACACAATTTGTGTCAAAACACACATTGTGTACCATACCTCATCAAATTTAACGCTTCGCTTTTCAGCTGCCATCACGGAGATCTGACTGATAAACCAGAACACATGTGATTAACAATACTAAACGAGAACAAGCACATCTGGATCTTTTCAAGGCTGATCTAACATCGTGGAGACAATATGTACGAAATCTCCTGAGATGGGTGATCACTGCAGTCACTAGATGCCCGTAAAGCCCTAAGCATATTTATAAAAATCCATTCCCAGCTGTCTGATGAAGATGTACAGCTGCTCTGTGAAAAACATTTCTCGACTCAGCAGCCTTGCTTCTGGCTGGAAGTAAATTCTTTTGCAGCTGTGCCATACAGGAAGTAAAACATGAAAAAAGGAGGGTTTGTGCCTTCCTCCCAGTAATCTGTACTGGGGCCCACCAAGTGAGAGCTGGGCTAGTAAAGACGTTGGATGACGTTAAATAACAGTGTATTAAACACTACACGACATCATGGCTGAAGAAAATGAATTGAATCAGCGTCTAACATACAGTTATCATTTTAGAAGCAAATTCAAATGGAAATTGACATATAGGAGAGAAGTCTTGGAGCCTCATTCGAGTACAGCATTGTTGTTGTGCTTTCTAGCTGCCAGTGAGAAAGCTGACTTTCAGCACCACGTTGTGTAGTTTTCCACCTACAGTACATGGTGTAACAGTCTAGGGGGGAGATCTACCGCTACAGCAAAGCTGACAGGGAATTGCAGTCACTAGAACACAACTAAGTGGGATCAGTATACTCAACATAATAATACTCAAATACAGAAGAAAAGTGCTTCTTCAAATACCCACAATTTAACCAAACTTCAAAATATTTCACTGATCCTGTGTCACAGGCTCTCATTATACTGAACTAACCTGTGGGCTGCAAGAGATACATTTCAGATAACTTTCATCCCTTCGCCCTGGCAAGTGGTATGAATTTAACAGTAACCTCAATGGATTTAACAGTAACCTCATATACAGGTAGCTCACAGTAACACACAGCTCTGTCACAGCAGTACAATGTTGTATTTTTAACAACACACCTTTAAAAATGAACAAAGCCATCTTTCCCACCATTTTGAGCTTGTGATAATTTAACAAGAAAAACACAATATCTGCCAATCTATCCAAAAGGCCCACAGCGAGTTCTCACGACTTACCTAAACTAAATTCCAACACCGGTTCATCTGGATCTTGGCTGTTTCCTGAAAGACATAAAAAAATGGGATGATAAACTCCAAGCAATTTGGAATATTTGAAACCTAAAAGAAAGAAATGCAGCAGAAAGATCACAGTCAATTTACTTTTTCCTAAAACCTCCTGACATTTTTTGGAAAGAAAAGCTAAACCTGCCTGAATGACAACGGAACGACATATTTCGTATTCACCAATTTTCTAAGGTATCATACAATTCAGGCTCCCAGCAAGCAAGGCGTGCTACTCCCTGGATGGGACAGTAGTCCATCTCAGAGTACACACAGACACAGATACAGACATGCCCATACAGTACTAACATCAGGGCTGAGTTTTTCAGAAGCCAGTTAATCTACCAGTACGTCTATGGATTGTGAGGGCATACCGAAGCACCTGGAGGAGATCCTCGTGAACATCAGGAGAACACACAAACTCAAAGAGCACCCCAGATCCAGGCTGGAATTGGAGCCAGGACCCCAGTGCTGTGAGGCAGCAAAGCTAACCACTGTGCCACCGAGCCACCTGTCATTCATCCATAGCCTGTACGAAAGAGGGGAAAACAGGACCGCGCACACCTGCCAGGGTGAGTCCCAGCATCTCGGAGGAGAGGTCGAAGGTGGTGGCCCGGTAAACGGACCACGGCCGGTGGCGAGGGCTGCGCTCTCTGGCAGACATCTTGTCATGAGGAGAGGGAGGCTCCTGCACGCCTGCAGCGGATGGGTCTTCACTCACAGCGGGGGGGGAGGGGAGCCGTGCCTGCCTGCCCTCTTCAGTCCCTCCCTACCAGCCTGCGGGCAGAAACAGAAGCAGCAGAATGAACGGTCTGAAGCAGAAGACGAAGAAGCTGTGTTTAATGGCAGGGAGCGGCCAAGAGAGGGGACAGTGGAGTTTCAATCCACTTGATATCTTATGAATTAATTGGCTTTTATTTTGTGCCAATTGCTCAAAATCAATACTAATCTTAAAAGACCTAGCACACACAAGTTGCTCCCTGGGATTCTCAAGTATTGTTTTGATTAGCATACATATTATCTTTCTCTGTTCTTTGTTTAGACAGCAGGTCGAGACCTAATAGTACAAGTACCTCCCAGCTGGAGTCTGGTGAATGTTCAGCTGTGACTGGAATTCCCAAGCGGAGTGCTATCAGAGTAATGAGGGTTTAAGTCCGAGACCACTACTGTACCCTCATCATGTAACTAGAGTAACGTCTGTGGCTTGCTGGACACCTCTTTGATTGCAGTGCAAACAGTGAGATCTGCATTCAGACCTGCTCTAGGGCTTACAGTAAGAAAACCAGCAGTGTAGATTACAATGCAATTTTCCATGCGTACAAGCAATTTTCACCCCTCCGGTGCAAGTATAAATGTTATAGCAGTGAGCTGGAGTGATTGACCAGATCACTCCAGACTAGGGGAATGGGTAGGCAAAAAAAATAGAGAAAAAGACACTAAAATGCTTCAAAAGCAACATTTGTGCAGGGAATTACATGGTAGAGACAACCTATACAAAACTGTACTGAGTATCAGATATAACATTATATACTGCATTTACAGTATCTTCATATCTCTCAGTCTTTGTCTCAGACCCCTGACCACTAAGAAAACATCTCCCTGAGAGGTGTAAATGATGACACTCGCCAGGTGTTTCACCATTGTCTCGTAGACACTGAGACACCCCAACAGTCACTTCAATAGCTGTAACTATCAGAATTACAGATACAATACTTATAGGCACATATACCAAAATAGGGATAAACCAAAATATAACACAATGCACAGGATATCTGATAATTAAGAAGAAACTGTGTGCCATATTTCCCTGATTTACTGAAATATTGTTTTTGTTTTTTCAATCCACATAAACTGCAAGAACATTGCAAACAGCCATGTTTGACATGGGAAACCGTTCCCCTAGGTATTGGTAGTCTAGATTCAATGAGTAAAAATTGCTTTTTTGGGCAGCTTACAAAATAAACACAAGTGACCCTGGTATAAATTGACACTTAATTTAGGGGCTGTAGAACTTGGAAACTTCGTTCAGTTGTTCATCTTAACGTTTTGTTCTTCAATAAAAACATTCAAATTAAACTAAAACAATTTTGTCTATAAATATCTATAGATATAAACTGCACCAATCGAAGAGCACATTTGAGGGAGACTTTACATTTCTGGTCATTTACTTAATTTTTTATCCTTAAGTTATTTTATTATTCCTTTCCAACGTAAAAGTGTGTCTGCATGAAGAAAAAATTTTACCTGACAACAGAGAACTGAAATCTATTGGAACATCTTCCTCAGGCAATGACCGTGAAAAATGTCTCCAGCAGCACAGATTTTTTCACATTATTTCTGCTTGAATAATGAAGATTTACATTATGAGCTGGGAGTACAAGCCAGCTTTTTCACTGTGGGACACCCAAGTTCGAAATTCATTTAAACAAAATTAGTTTGGTGATGCTTGCAGGGACAGGCCCCAGCTCTCCCACAACCATGTTTTGGATAAAGAGGTTAGAAAATGGATGGATAGGTGAGTTCAATCTACCCCATAATCCATAGCTACAAAGCATTAGACACGACACTGTGCCTGTGGCTGGAAGGTTGCCGGATCAAATTCTACGACCGGCAGAGGAATCCTACTCCGTTGGGCCCCTGAGCAAGGCCCTTAACCCTAACTGTTCCAGGGGCGCCGTATAAATGGCTGACCCTGTGCTCTGAACCCAGGGTTCTCTCTCCCCGTCTGTGTGCCTGTGTGTCTCATGGAGAGCAAGCTGGGGTATGATAAAAGACAAATTCCTAATGCAAGAAATTGTACTGCATATGGCTAATAAAGTGATCTTCTCTTTGGTGACAAAAGGTGAAGGCTTGAGGGAGTACTGTAAACAATGAACCAATGTTCCAGACCAGCGGGCCAGAGAGAAAGATCAGGCTGCTCTTACTGAACCTGTCCTGTCAAAAGAAGAGTGTGAACAGTGTTGCCTGTGCAGTAATTATTCACTAGGGATTAAAAATTAATAATAACAAAAAAGGGTAGAGCATGGGTAGAGCTTAAAATTCAAAGGCATTTTGCATTCGAAACCATCTGCTAAGGTTTTCAGTTGGAAAAAAAAACATGTATTACAAAACAACTTATTTCAATTTTTAAACAATCCATTAATAATTCAATGAATTGAATACAATTCTATTATTACAGCAGACAGCAATGTTTTGCGTTACAGGGCCAAGCCAGTGTTTGCAGAATGTTATGAAACACAACCTGTAATGTTGTCAAAGACAACGAAACACTCAGGAGGGGGTAGACACTATCTGCTTCCAATTAAATTCACATCAGACTGAGACAAAATTGTTTCGAAACAGAGGATAACAGAGGATTTTGCGAGTCCTTCAGTAGGTTTTTGATCTTCGGGATCTGTGGTCAAAATCCCAGCCACTTATTTCACAGGCATTCTATGAGGAAATGCCCAAGCAATACTGTGATTTAGGAAGACTTACAAACCAAGACACAGATGAATGGTACTGCATGTTCAGCTGGTATGGTATGAACATGGAAACTGGGTAAATTATAACTGAATTCTGAAGTGTAGTTTGTACTTTTTTCCCCTAAGACCTCAATTACTACTGTTTGTTGAAAAATGTGGACGCATTACGATAAAGAAAACTCTCCTACTCCACACTCTCATATAGACTCCTTGTCTAGAGTTAACTTCATAGCATTCTCTTATCGTTTGACTTCAAGGTCCAGAGAGAGAAGACTCAGGCTACCCTTACTGAAGTTGTAGACATGTACCATGTAAAGAATGTGCCTAACATAACTAAGGGCCAGAGACCTGGAGCTAGCTAAAAATGAAAAAAAAAAAAAACAGCCTTGACAATGGTCATATTGATTCAGACCACAGCTGTGAAAATATACCAACTGCCATCCTGCAATGACAAAAATAGATACAATGACAGCAGCTTCTAAACTACTGTGCCTGTAAATAAAAAAAATAGCAAAAAAAAAGATACCAAATGCATGTTTACACTGAGTCGCAACAGATAAAGAACGACTACTGCACATGACAACAGTAACTAGGAGAGACATTTTTAAAGTGTTTTCTACATAGTAAATCTCAGATCATGAAAATTCTAAAATTGGGAAGCACTTGCAAAGTCTTATCCTTGATCATAATCCCATTTCCCAATTTTAACCTCAATTTTTACAAATTTCATTTTGTTCTTTGTTTCATTTTTATCCTAGACGTTAAATTGAACAAATTCTGTGTACTTCAAGGGAGGATGAAGCAGCTCCCCACTTTCATGAAAGCCATATTCGGGATCCCTTCAGATGAAAAATAAGTATGAAGCACTTTATAAGTGCAATGAATTATTAATAATTAGAAGCAATTTCTGTCCTGAGAATGCAGACCTTTCTTTATATATATGTAATCAGAGGGAGAAATCAGCCAACAAATCTTAGACTGCCAGTTACAAATCTACAACGGGAGACTTTTTACAGTGATGTACTGACAAATAAATGTAATTTTAAGCGAAAAAATTAAAATGTGCATTGCATGAGATGGATGTGAACAAATGGGGAAACTGAGATATCACAAGACATTACAGATGATTTGCCAATCTGAATCTTCAGCGCCAAATAATGCAGCATTTGATAGTTTACAGCACATGCTCATATTATCTATGATCTTGCAAAGCCTTGATGCTCAAATGGTGAAAGTGCACTGGCCCCAGATCTGCCAAATTCTTAATGTGGTCTAAACAGTGTCTGATTAACTTTGCTGTGATCCAAATGATGGCAGTCCCTGCCTTTCTGTTTTTTTAGCCCTATCAAGCCTAATAAAAAGAGTTGGCTCATTTTTTATTCTACAGTACATCACTAATCCTAACAGCAGCTCTCAGATTTAGCCATTTGTGTACCACCTTGAACATACACAGATTTCTGATTAACAATGAATGCGTTTCCTTTGACATTTTGTTATCTTCTTCAGGAAAAAATATACTGTCGATTTTTCACATGATGTTTGTTCATCCATTTTTGAAACTACTTTATCGAGGAAGAGGTTGCAGGAGAGATACAGTCTATTCTGGCAAGCAATGGGTGCAGTGCAGGATACACCCTGGATGGGACACCAGTTCATTGCAGGGCACACACAGACACAAATACACACACTCACACCTAGGGACAGTTTTCCTAGAAGTCAATTAGCCTAACACTATGTCTTTGGGAGGAAACAGAAGAAAACCAGAGCACCTAAAGGAAAACCATGCAAACAAAAGGAGAAAATACAAACTCTAGCAATAGCAATGCTAACCACTGTGCCACCATCTTGCCCTGTTTCACATCATGCTCTTCATTGATTACCACATTTTGACTACTTGCACAGAGAAATAAGCGGTCTTGAAAAATGATGATATTTTGTCTTTGTTCATATTTATGGATTTTAGACAAGTTTTATGGGAGTTAAGTAACAGAACCATAAATTTAATTACTATTGAAAAAGGTTTGACTCATGGGCCAATATTGTGAAATGGAGCAGAACTATTATCCTAAATGGTAAAAGGATTTTCTAGCAATAATCCTGTGTGTAATATGATACTATTGCAACCCTAAATGCTTAGAAGCTTGATCATGAAGCGGATAATTTTCTGAAATTTCCTGACCCCACAGTAGTGGATTTGTTGAGATTTGGAACAAAATAGAAAGATTAAGCTCCTTAAATATCAAGATATTGGAATTAATAAATGTAATTTGGGAATGGCACAGTGACATTAAACAATATAATCTTTACTTACCA